CCGTCAAGAACAAGGATGTCCTTACCATTGTCGCTGCCTTCTTGGGTGTCAGCTCCCAGGACCTACAGACCACTCTCTCCTACAAGACCAAGATGATTCACAAGGAGAGAGTCACCGTCATGCTGGACCCCGCCGGCGCCCGCTCGCACGCCAACGAGCTCGCCCGCACTCTCTACTCGCTCTTGGTGGCCTACATTGTCGAGTCCATCAACCAGAGACTCTGCGCACCCGAGGACAGCGTCGCCAACACCATTTCCATTATTGACTTCCCCGGCTTTGCCCAGCAAGCGTCCACCCACTCGGCGCTCGACCAGCTGCTCAACAACGCCGCCTGCGAGGCCCTCTACAACCTCACCCTGCAAAACTTCTTCGACCGCAAGGCAGACATGCTGGAGAACGAGGAGGTCAGCGTGGCGGCCACGAGCTACTTTGACAACTCGGACGCCGTCAGGGGTCTGCTCAAGCCTGGAAACGGCTTGCTCAGCATCCTCGACGACCAGACACGCAGAAACCGTACCGACGTGCAGTTCCTCGAGAGTCTGCGCAAGCGCTTCGAGGGCAAGAACCCGGCCATCACCCCCGGCTCTGCCAACACCAGACTGCCCGGCAGCAACTTTTACACCGAGAACACGAATGCCCTCTTTACCGTTAAGCACTTTGCCGGCGAGGTCGACTACCCCGTCAAGGACATTATTGAGGAGAACGGCGAGGTCATTTCCGGTGATTTGCTCAACATGATCAACTCGACCAAGAGCGAGTTTGTCGCCCGCCTCTTTGGCCAGGAGGCCCTCAAGACCGTCACCCACCCCAAGGAGAGGTCGACGGTCATGCAGGCCACCATCAGCTCCAAGCCTACGAGGGCGCCCAGTGTCATGTCCCGCAAGACCACCAGGACCGCTCGCAACCAGCGCCGCATCCAGCAGTACCAGCAGCAGCAGGACGAGGCTGCCCAGGACGAGCTGGACAGACTCAGCGAGGGCAACTCGCAGTCTGGCGGCAACAAGCTGCAGGCGTCGGAGCAGGGCGCCTCTGGTCAATTCCTTGCGTCCCTGGACAACGTCACCAAGTCCGTTGCCGACCCCAGCAGCAACTCGTACTTTGTCTTCTGCCTGAAGCCCAACGACCGACGCATTGCCAACCAGTTTGATAGCAAGTGTGTCCGCACCCAGGTGCAGACATTTGGTATTGCCGAGATTAGCCAGCGCCTGCGTTCGGCAGACTTTAGTTTGTTCCTCCCCTTTGGTGAGTTCCTCGGTCTTGCCGACTCGGACACCATCCTTGTCGGCACCGAGAGGGAGCGTGTCGAACTCGTGGTCGAAGACAGGCACTGGCCCGCCAACGAGGTCCGTATCGGATCGACCGGTGTCTTCCTTAGCGAGCGATGTTGGATGGAGGTCGCCCAGCTGTCGGACGGCGCCTCTGCCACCGGCCGCTACGCCTTGCCATCCGACAACGGCGACGGCCTGACTCCCCAGGACACCCCTTTTGCCGCTTCCAAGGAGCGCCTGCTCTCTGCCGGTGGCACGCCTCTGCTGTACGGCGAAAAGGGCAAGGGCGGCTACTTTGGCGGCCAGGACGGCTCCGATGCGCGGTCGGAAGCCGGCGTCTCCGCGTTTGGCGGTGGTGACATGTTCAAGAACCTCGACACCCGCGAGCAGATGGCCGAGCGCGGCAACGAGAAGAACCTCGAGGAGGTTGAAGAGTTCAAGGACAGCGCCAGCCGTAAGCGGTGGGTGTTTATGGTCTACCTCATGACCTGGTTCGTGCCGGACATTGCCATCCGCAAGATGGGCCGCATGCCCCGCAAGGACATTCGCGTGGCATGGAGAGAAAAGTTCGCCATCAACATGCTCATCTGGCTCTTCTGTCTCTTTGCCGCCTTCTTCATTGTCGTATTCCCCAAGCTCATCTGCCCCACCCAACACGTCTACAGCGCCGAGGAACTGTCCTCCAATGACGGCCAGGACGACAACTCGGCCTACGTCGCCATCCGCGGCGTGGTCATCGACCTGGGTGCCTACGCCCCCCGCCACTACCCGCCGTACGTTACCAACAAGCAGCTCAAGAACTACGCCGGCAAGGATATCAGCACTCTGTTCCCCGTCCAGGTCAACGCTCTGTGCCAGGGCAAGGACGGCTCCGTCGACCCCCACGTCACGTTGGACTACCGCAACACCAACCTCACGGGCTCCGCGCAGCTCACGTCGACCGACCTCAACTTCAAGTATCACGACTTCCGCTACTTCACCAACGACAGCCGTCCTGATTGGTACTATGAGCAGATGATCATGCTCAAGTCCAACTACAAGAAGGGCACCGTCGGCTACTCGCCCCAGTACATCAAGACCCTCGCCAACAAGCAGCAGAACATTGCCTACATGGGCGGCCGCGTGTACGATCTCACCCAGTACATGAACGGTGGTCTCAAGATGCAAGCCAAGGCGGGCGAGTCCGTTCCCGATGATTCCTCCCTCACCAGCTTCATGGACGACGCCGTCGTGCAGTTGTTCCAGGGCAAGTCGGGAACCGATCTCACGGACCTCTGGGAGAAGCTGTCGCTCGATACCGCCGCCAAGAAGCGCATGAAGACGTGTCTCGACAACCTGTTCTACGTCGGCGACGTTGACACGCGTAACTCGGTCCGCTGTCAGTTTGCTGAGTACCTCGTCCTCGCCATCTCCATCATCCTCTGCGCCATTCTTGGTTTCAAGTTCTTGGCCGCGCTCCAATTCGGTGGCAAGAACGTGCCGGAGAACCTCGACAAGTTTGTCATGTGCCAGATTCCCGCCTACACCGAAGACGAGGAGGCTCTTCGCCGTGCCATTGATTCCGTCGCCCGCATGCATTACGACGATAAGCGCAAGCTCCTCGTCGTTATCTGCGACGGTATGATTATCGGTCAGGGCAACGACAAGCCGACGCCGCGCATCGTGCTCGACATTCTGGGTGTTTCCGATACCGTCGACCCCGAACCCCTCAGCTTCGAGTCGCTCGGTGAAGGTCAGAAGCAGCACAACATGGGCAAGATCTACTCGGGTCTGTACGAAGTCCAGGGTCACATTGTCCCGTTCATGGTTGTCGTCAAGATTGGCAAGCCGTCCGAGGTGTCCCGCCCCGGTAACCGTGGCAAGCGTGATTCTCAGATGGTCATTATGCGTTTCCTCAACCGCGTCCACTACAACCTGCCCATGAGTCCTCTCGAGCTCGAAATGTACCATCAAATCCGCAACATCATCGGTGTCAACCCAACGTTCTACGAGTTCATGTTCCAGATCGATGCCGATACCGTCGTCGCACCCGATTCCGCCACCCGCATGGTCGCCGCCTTCCTCAACGACACCCGCCTCATTGCCGTGTGCGGTGAGACGGCGCTGACCAACGCAAAGGCCTCGTTCGTCACCATGATCCAGGTCTACGAGTACTGGATTTCCCACAACTTGACAAAGGCCTTTGAGAGTCTGTTTGGCAGTGTCACCTGTTTGCCCGGCTGTTTCTCCATGTACCGCATCCGCGCCTCCGAGAGCGGCAAGCCCCTGTTTGTCAGTCGCGAAGTCGTCGAGGCCTACTCGACCATCCGTGTCGACACGCTGCACATGAAGAACCTGCTCCACCTCGGTGAGGATCGATACCTGACGACGCTGCTGCTCAAGTTCCACAACTCGTACAAGACAAAGTATACCAACCGCGCCCACGCCTACACCATTGCGCCCGATTCCTGGTCCGTCTTCCTCTCGCAGAGACGTCGCTGGATCAACTCGACCGTCCACAACCTCATGGAGCTCATCCCCATGTCCCAGCTCTGCGGTTTCTGCTGTTTCTCCATGCGTTTTATTGTCTTCGTCGACTTGCTGTCCACCGTCGTCCAGCCCGTCGTTGTCGCCTACATCATCTACCTGATTGTCACCGTCGCCCTGAACCCCAGCGTGGTGCCGGTCACGGCTTTCATCATGCTTGGTGCCATTTACGGTCTGCAGGCCATCATCTTTATCGTTCGCCGCAAGTGGGAGATGATTGGCTGGATGATTCTGTACATCCTGGCCATTCCCGTCTTCAGTTTCGCCCTGCCTCTGTACGCCTTCTGGCACATGGACGACTTCAACTGGGGTAACACGCGTGTCATTGCCGGCGAGTCGGGCAAGAAGATTGTCATTTCCGACGAGGGCAAGTTCGACCCCTCTGTCATCCCCAAGAAGAAGTGGGAGGAGTACCAGGCCGAACTCTGGGACGCCCAGACGGTCCGCGAGGACGCCCGCTCCGAGGTCTCTGGCTACAGCTACGCCACCAAGGGCCAGGTCCCCGTCTCCGAGTACGGCTACCACAGCCGTCCCGGCTCCATTGCCGGCGGCTACGCACCCCCGAGGGCCCCCGGCATGGGCTACGAGCAGCGCAACCACTCGCGCATGTCGCTCGCAGCCTCGGACGCCGGCGGCAACCGCAACAGCCAGTTTGGCGGCTCCCAGTTCTTCTCCCCCGAGGACATGGTGGGCCTGCCCAGCGACGACGCCCTCCTGGCCGAGATCCGCGAGATCCTGCGGACGGCCGACCTCATGACCGTCACGAAGAAGGGTATCAAGCAGGAGCTGGAGCGCCGCTTCGGCGTTCCCCTCGATGCCAAGCGGCAATACATCAACAGTGGTATGTCTTTCGTCCATGGTATTTGAAGCACGTGCTAACTCTTTCTAGCAACCGAGGCGCTGTTGTCTGGTCAATTGTGATCAGTTTAAACTAATTTAATGCATCATTTCTGGATTGGGGACACCAAAAAGGCCGACTTTACGTCGACGGATCTCTTTTAGTTTGACTGGGGGGCCCGGGAGGAGCATGTTATTTTTGAAATATAAAACGGAATTTAGCATAATACTGGATCAAGTCGCCCGGGCAGACAGATGTTGTTATTTGGTTTGGGACACCGCATGGCGGATGACTGGAGTTTTAGCATTCGCGTCAGAGTATATATATCATTATTGAAGACAGTTCGTATTCAATTTGTATCGTATGAACTACTTGCTAGCGGCCGGCACCTCCTCGTCCAGGGGCAGAATGTGCGGCAGAGGACCGACGGGGCTGATGGAGAAGGGGTTGATCTGGGTGTGGCTCTTTGTGTAGTGCCACTTGATGTGCTCGAATTGGGTTGTGTCCTTGAAGGCCGGCACGTTCCAGTACAGGTTGCGCATCCACTTGTGGATGAGGGGATACCCGGAGCGGATGTCGCGGATGTTGCACTTGAAGTGCTGCACGTAGACGGGCTGTTTTGTTAGCACCAGATCATAATTGCGTGAGGAGGTGAGGCTTACATCAAATCGGATGATGGTCACGTATCTGTCGGTACCGAGTCAGCAAAATACCAAGACTGATCTACAGAGACGTCAACTCACAGCCTGATATCGGCCTCGGTAATCTCCTTGCCAAAGTAATACGGCCCCTCGGCCGCCGTGCTTTTCAGGTGCGCCTCCGCCTTGTCGAGCGCCTCGAACAGGGCGACGACGTTGCGCTCGTAGGCCTCCTGCGTGGTGGCGAAGCCGGACTTGTAGACGCCGTTGTTGATCTTGTCGTACGTCCACTCGTTCGCCTCGTCGATTTGTGCGCGGAGGGATTCCGGGTAGAGGTTGACGTTGCGGTATTTTTCGTCAATGAGGTCGTCGAACTGGTTATGTTAGTTCTCGGGGTCACTTTCCTGCGTTCACGGTCCACAGTGAGGATCATGACACACCTCCGTGTACAGCATGCGGATGATCTCGCTGCTCTCGTTGCTGACAATCGTCTTGAGCTTGGTGTCGTAGAGGACGGGCACGGTGAAGCGGCCCTCGTAGCCCGGCTCCGACTCGAAGTAGAGGTCGCGGAGGTGGGTGTAGGACTCGTGGCCCGGGACGGGGTCCGGGATGACGTGGGCTCCGGGGATGTCCTTTTCGTCCTTTGTCACGAAGCGCCAGCCTGTGTTGTTAGTCTTGTTTTCTGAGGCGGGTTTTCTTCTGTTGGGTGTTGGTGTTCCGGCCCAATGAGCAGGTGAGATCATTGAGATGAGATGTGTGTTTCAATGAGATAACGAGAGGAAAATCCAAGGGGTGACCTACCCTTCTCGCCAAGGTGCCAATGAACAACAGAATAGCTGATAAAGTCCTCGAGACCTTTAAGCTGGCGCGTAATCAACGTCCGGCAAGCCTGTTCACAAGTCAGACGAACTCATCCTTATCTTTCTCACATCCTCATCGACACTTTCAGCGAGTGAGAAACAGAGACAACTCACCCAAGGACACGCATAGCTGACGTAGAGATGATACCGCCCCTTCTCAGGCGCAAACTTGGCGCCCTCCTCGCGGGAGATGAAGTTGCGGAACGAGCTCTGCTGACGCTTGAACTCGCCCGACTTGTCGTTGGGCTTCACCCAGTCTGTGACTTTGCCGGCCTTGTATGCCTCACCGTCAGCATCTTTCTGTTCATTCCATTTTCATCGTCATCAGAGCCTGTGGGTACACACCATCTTGCTTGGTTGATTCCGTACAGCACTCGTGTGAAACTGTACAGATGCGCTCCTATCTCGACCGAAACGCGGGACGGATGAGAATGCGCGGACGGGTTGGTGTGTATGCAAGTACAATGTTCTCCGTGTCGTCGACGTGAGAGATCTCGTGAGACGAGTGAGTGCAGGGGTACCAGTGTTCATGAAGTACTTTGTCGTTGACGTGCGCTGAGTGAAGGTGCGGGGTGGACGGATGAGCCTCTTATACGCCAATAGTCTAGATAAGGTCGACAAAGCCAACGCCCTAAACTACAATCAACCGCGCGGGCAATCCACTTAGTCCCAGGGTTTACTTCCAAAGCAGTGGATCGAACGAGTTGATTTGTCGCTCAATGCTCTCATAAACTTATCAAATCTACAACTGCAGCTTACCTTTACAATGTTGACTCGCAGACCCCGCGGCTACGCTAAGGCAGCTTGACGATTCTAAGCAATTGCTAATGGTGACGTAAACCCGGCGCTTCCCCACGCTGAGCCGCCAGCGGCAGGGGTGCTTACAAATGTCTGCGTTAGCGGCTGCGGGCTTAGTAACGCCCTCGACATAGGAAACCACTACAACACACAGAGTACACACATAGAGTAACAGTGAAGAGCTCTATTCCGTGATCCTATTGCCTATTTGGCTGACCACAGTTTCTGGCCATTCTAAAACCCTGCGCTTCTAGCCTCGCCAAACGTGGCAGATATCATCAATTGCACACGGCCCCGCTTACGCCATCTTCATCTTGATGTAGGGAACCTCGACGTCCTCGCCGTCCACGTCCTCGGCCACCATCTCGAAAATGACCTCCTTCTGGTGAGCCGGCACGGGCTTTTTGGACACCGTCTCGACAAGCTGGCTCAGCTTGAGGTTTTGGCGGTCCTTGAGCTTGGCCGGGGGGAAGAAGCTGGCGTACAGCAAGCTGACGCCGGAGCTGAGCATCGAGATGGTGAGGCCCTGCTTCTCAAAGTGCTCCAACAGCTCCTTGAGTGTGATGTCGTTGACCTCGAAACGATCCCAAATCTTGTCCAACTTGACAATACCGTTGGGGCCCTTGAACTCCACCTTGGGGCTGGCAATGGGCTCGCTGAAGCCGAAGAAGGGCAGCGCCAGGTTGATGAAACCGTTCTTGTACTGCTCAATGTCGTCCTTGCCATCAATGACCTTGTACAACTCCAGAATCACCAGGCCCGTGACGAGCGCCGTCGTCGTCGCAATCGCCGGGATGATCTTGCCGGCAATGAACTTGGTCTTGTGACGGTCGGCCTGCTCAATCTTGTAGTTGGCCGCGCGGAGGTTACTGCACGCCGTGATGAAGTCAATGTGGTGGTTCGAGTCGTCGTCCTTTTCAAAGTCCACAGGTTGCAGTTGGAAGCCGGCAAGCTCGTTAGGCGAAGGGAGGCTGCCGATGAGCTTCTGCAGCTCGTCGTTGTCGTCAAAGGAGCTGCCCGCGTCGGCGTTGGGGTCCTACGTATGTTAGTTATCTGCATATGTACTCCATAGACTATGAACTCACAGGATCGCTGTCGTTGGCCTGGATCTTGACACCCTCGGCGGGTGAGAACTCGGGCACGATGATGTTGTCGAGCTCGCGCAGGTAAATGTCCTTGGAGGTGCCGGGCGACTTGATGTTGTAGTTGAAAGCGTGCAAGTTGGCGGCCGCCACGACGAACGCAAAGTGTGTGGGGTTGTTGGCGTCAAACTTGAGCGGCTCAGGCGCGCGCTTGGGACCGGACCAGAAGGGGGTGCCGGTCGACGTCGTCGAGTCCTTGGGGAAATTGTGCAGGAGCTGCTGAATCTTGTTGTTGAACTCCTTCTCAAAGAGAATGCGCGCCCACGCAACGCAGTCCTCAAAGGTTCGCGGGCGGTCCGTCGTGAGGTAGTCGCGCAGCGTCTCGAGCGTCAGCTTGGCGCTGCCACCCTGCTTCAACGTACCCTCAATGTAGTTGGGCTGCGTCAAGTACAGGTTGACCGTCGAGGGAGACGTGACAAAGAGGTTCTCAAACATGTGGTCCTTGGACCACGCAATCGTGTGCTCAATCTTGTTGGGGAAACTCTTGACGGTGCACATGGGGAACTCCTTCTCAGGGGGGTCCTGCGAGGAGGAGTACGACTCGGTCAGATGGGGGAGGACGACCTGGGTGTTGCCCTTGGTTCCGAGCGTTCCGCTCTCGAGGAGCGGCTTGCGGAAGAAGACACAGCGGCGGTCGACGTACGTTCTGGCCTCGACGTTGTCCAGCGCGTTGGTAACGCCGTCGAGATTGCCCCAGAACTCCTCGTTAAAGGTCTCCTCCGTCTCGGGACTCACGCGATCCTTGAGGCACACAATATGGCCGTTCAGGTCGGGGTTCATCGCCTGCACGGCCTCGGCAGCGCAGTCGCTCTTCATCTTGCCAACATCCTTGGGGCGGAACAGGAACTGGCGGTTCAGGTTGCTCTTCTCAATGGAGTCCATGTCGGTGACGGTGATCTGACCCTTGGGGCCGGTTCCGAGACCGATCATGGCCCAGTTCTTGAGCATCTCACAGCCAATGGCGCCGGCTCCAACGAGGAACTGCCGCAGGTTGGCAATCTTGTCCTGGTACTCGCGGCCAAAGACGACAATCTGGCCGTCGTAGCGGGTGCCGAGAGGCTTGCACAGCTCGGCGGTGCGGGCGGTGCTGGTCGGCAGAGACTCGAGCGAGTCAAAGTACATCCACTGCTGGATGGGCTGGAACTTGCCCGAGACGGCCTTGAGGATTTCCTGCGCCGCGATTCCACCAAACAGGGCAGCCATGGCGTTCAGGTCACCAAGGGACTGGTAACTCAGCTCCTTGAGGAGCTTCTCGTCAAACTCCACCTCGACGCCCTCTGCCTTGGCAAACGCCTCGGCGGAGCGCAGAATCACAGTCGCATCCGCGTCGTCCAGGGGGTTCGGGAAACGGCCCTGGCTCTCCACAAAGGCATGCAGGGCCTGGAAACCCAGGTGAAGCTGCTGAGGGCGGTCAAATTTTGCAAAGTCTGAAATCATGAATTCGGGCTCTTTGAGCGCGGCAGAGAAGCTCTTGAAGTTGATCTTCTTGGGCATCTTGACCTGCTGGTACAGACCGCCGCGGATGTACTGGCCGAGACCGGAGACGTCGCCGATGGAAAAGGTATACGGGCCCTTGACGGTAATCTTTCGCGGCTCGCCTCCGTTGAGCTTCTCCATGCCCTCGACTTCTGAAAAGGTGACATAGTCGCCGTCCTCGAGGCCGTGGCGGGTCTCGTCAAGCGCCGAAACCAGGCCCTCCTCGTCGATGCCCGCAATGATGCCGGTCAGGGGGGCCTCGCCGGTCGGGTCGATGACGGTGAAGTCGGCGCCGAAATCGCAGAAAATCGAACCGAAAAGACCAAAGGTATCGGCGGCCACGACGTAGATGCCCTTGGAGTGGCAGTAATCGCCAATCAGCGCCTGCAGCTTCAGCGGCAGGCTGGTCAGGACGACGACCTGGTACTTGTCAAACTGGGAGAGGTTCTCGCCCAGGCTGTCTCTGTTAGCGTTGTCTCGTTAGAGGGCTTCTACACTCACCTTGACGACTGATGGACCTTGACGGGGGTGTATGCGTTCAACTCGGCGACTCTCGGGGCGGTGACCTCATCTCTCGGCTTGCCCACGTCTTCGGGGTGCAAGAAGAACTGTGAGGACAGGTCGGCGAGGGCGACCTGACCGGGGTCGTAGAGTGTCAGGCTCTTGACGCCGGCAAGGGCAATGTTCTTGGCGATCTCGACACCCAGGCCCTTGAGACCGACAATGAGGACGTTGGAAGCGCCCATGCGCTTCATGGCCTCGTGGCCAAGCACATAGAGCTGGCGACTGTAGAGCGACTCATCGATCTCGGTGTTTCCGACGACGGAGTCGTCGACCTGCATGCGGGTCACCAGGTCGACCTCTGGTAGCTTCTTATCCTAGGGAGTCTCCAAGTCAGCGGCGCGATGCACGATGCGGGGTATGTAGACGGAGGCGATACGGCGACGACGTACAGCCATGGTTTTCTTATTGGGATCAGGTGTCTCCCCGTCGGAGAGTTTGCGCTTCCCCAGCTTGACGATGCCGGACCGGAACGTCGTTTGCTATGACGTGGAGGGAAACACGGGCGGCGGGTGGGACGATGAAGCTTCCAACCCCACCAAACAAGGACGTGTGTATTCGTGTGTTTCGTATCGTGGAACCGCGGATGGTTCTCTCGTCGTTCGTCAAGGGTGCAGAGAGGCTGTCGCTGCGTATCGTAGAGAGGTAGTGAAAGAATGCACCAGGCAAGAGTCGTCGTGTTGCAGTTGATGTGGTTGTGCAGGAAGAAAGAGCAGCCTCGTTTCCGGTGATGTAAAGGTGGTCGTGGAGCCCGGATGTGGAGGTGTCGACGAGGGGCAGGGGTGCGCCTGGGTTACCTCACGTAAGGCGGGCGATTGGCGCTGTGAGGTAAAGGGAAGCTCCACTGGCCGATTTCTAAACATTGCCCCTCAATGCGTTCAGTGGTGAGGAATAAGGTACCAGACCAAGACAACTTCAGCCAAGGTGAAGCAGTGTCGTTCGTACTGTGTGTACGTGGGTATGTGGCACTTTCACATGGTCCAATATGTACAGAAACGAGCACCTACTCACCGCACCGTACTCAGTCACTGTGTGTCATATTCTCCGAGAATCTACCGAGTTCCATCACCACTTGAAGTCGACCTAACTATGAGTCCTAGGCTTGGCTCTTTGGTTTGAGTAGGATATTCGAGCGCAGACGTTCTTCATGTTTCTTGTCTGTAAGGTTTGTAGTAGTGTGTGCAATATGCTACTATATTGCCCAATGAAGTTGAGTATGGCAACATGAGGATGTGGACATTCGTCAATAAACGGAATTAAATCAATGATTTAAATAGCAAATAAATTCAAACACAACATCCACCAACACATTTCAGACTCATTGAACTGTTCGAATGAAAGCCAATGCATCTGCCATCATGATTCCGATTTTTTTAGGCCCGAAAAGTCCCCTACACGTGTGGAATGGCGAATATCATGTTCCAAAGCCTCTCTTCACCTAGGCAGCGGCAGCACACCATGCCCAGTCGTGTTATAGTCCATAGAGTTTGTATCTACGTCTCTTCATAGTCATCAACGAGCACTCATACAAGAATACAATAGGGATCCCCATTGGAAAGAATTGGCGATGGGACAGGCCAAATCACATGAGTACGTGTATCACCAGCACCGCATGCCGTGTGACGTGGGCACCGCCCCAGACCCCGTCGCGCATGCGATCCGGCAGCTACGCAAAAACATTTCACACTCATTGGCAATAAAAGATTGTTATGCGGCAGTTGAAGAGAGTATATTTGGGTCCGAGTACGTTCTGGGAACTGTACTCTCCACCCTGCAAGGAAGGCCGAGTGTGCCTACTCCATATCGTCTTTCCAGCTAACCACTTGCGCGAAACGAAGCAAAGCTTTGATGCTTTACTGGACCTTCTTCAGCTCAACGTCGCTGTAGGGTTTGGTCAGTACCGCAGTCGTGGACGCCTTGATGCTGCCAAACAGCGATCATCTCGCACAGGGTCAAACTTACAAGATGAGGTCGGCGTTGGGGGGAATGTGGCCGGTGAAGCCGCTGTTGGGTAATGAAATTAGTATCCATTGGTCATGGTAGCAACAGATGCCTGGCATAGCCTAGGCCCTGTTCATGGTGAGTATGGCTTACCGCTCGCCGTAGGCGTAGTCACTGCGAAACACACGTTAGCCAAGTTCATTGTCTTGCCGTACGCTGTACAAAGCCATCCCACTGAGGACTGTAGGACAGATGTTCCTTACCTGGTGATGTCGAGAGTAGCCTTCTCGCCAACGTTCATCTGGGTGACACCCTCATCCCAGCCTGCGGTCATGCGTCAGTGAGCATTCGGTTTTGCAATACCAACATCGTGTGTGTATTCGAAAAAGTCTGAGGAGAGGACAGCAAGGACGTATGCGAGTGTCTCGGTGCAGACATACCCTTGATGACCTGGCCGACGCCAATTCTGGTGACAAAGTCGCCGCGGCCGACGGAGGAGTCGAACCTGGCAATTGAAGCACTCGTTAGCATGGTATTGAAGGAGAGAACTGCGCCGGGCGGGGTAGTGGGAGTGTTTGCTCACTTGGCGCCCTTGTTGTCGGGCTTGGAGGTATCCTTGAGGAAACCGGTGTACTCAATGGTGACGGTCTGGCCGGGCTTGGGGATGGCGCCGGAGCCGGACTGGTGAGTCGTCTTGGTAACACCCATTTTGTCGGTTGTGATTTGTAAAGTGATTGGAGTTTGTGTTTGTGGTGATGTTGGTGGGAAAGAATTGCAGAGAAGGAAGCTGAGGAAAGCTACTGCTTTAAAGACAAGGGCAGCAAAAGCAGGTAAAGGGAATCCAAGTGGGGTTGACGGAGGATGGAGGGGTAAAATCGCAGAGGGCAGAGGGCAGTGGTCCAGTGGTTCGGAGGGGGGGGGGATGCAGCCTGGCGCTCTAAATAGTTTCGTCACCTTGCGATGGGAAGGAGCACCTTATGGTACCTTACGGTGAGGCAAGGGCCGCCCCATGTATCTATTTCGTGTACCTACTTTACACCCTAGGTTTGACGGTACTGAGGAACGAGGGGATATCGAACCGAACCAGGCATTGCGACAAGCTGCCCTGACGAACGGGGGAGGTCGACTCGCGCGCATCGCCTTGCGTGGGTGAGGTGCTCAAACCAAATGGAAGGGAAAATAGGTACTTGCCGCCCCAGCCAAGGGAGCCGATGACGAACCCGGGCCCTTGGTCGCGGAGACTTGTAAATGCTGTAACCTTTTGCCTGCGTCGCGCCGAAAAGTCTACTCCTCGCCTGGGTACCGTTACCAAGAAACAGAGTCCGCCGTGATGGGCGATCCCGAAGCCAAAGGTCCCCGCCCAGGCGAGCAGAGGTACCTTGCCGACCCCGCCAAACGACCGGCTGTGCCTTACGTCAGGGCGGCCTGTCAGAACAGCAGGCGCAGGCGGCAGCGGGCAGTTCCTCAACACCCTCAACCACCAGACTTTAACCTCGAGCGTCCAACAACTCCCGGGCATCCTCGCTTCACCTTGCGCGTAACCTTTCCAAGGTTCCTGACCTAGGTAGGTAAAGTACACGGGCACTGCTTGGTTGGACTGCATGTGCGCGTGTACCTGGAAGAAGCTTTGTCGGGTTGTATCAGCGCGACACAGCACTGGGAATACCTGTCACTACATGCTCAAGAATAATGATTAAAAAATCCACACAAAAAGTTGGCAATGGCTATCGCAACTCTCCCACGCACCCCCGGTTCGATTCAACCACACTGTGGCTTGCGTCGATACTTTCACCTTATCCATGTTGCTCACCTTCAAGCAAGGTACCTCAGATGCGAGTCACATCATCTCACCGCCCAAGCACATACCGTCAATCCGGCTCTCCCACGTCTGGAAAAGCCCCAAACGTAGCTAGCCGTCGAGATTCGGCCGCTCGCGCTGATCCTGCCGCTGCGATCCATGGTTCCGCCGGGTTTCCATCGCTTCTGACTGGTCATCATCATCGCCGTCGCCGTCCTCGCCGCCGCCTACGCAGCATTGCTGTTGCGAACTTGCGTCTCACCCCGATTTCTCCGCTCCAGTCAAACCTACCTCCCGTCGTCCCCTTTGTCAAAAGGCTGCATCGCGACGTGCGAGAGTTGCCCCTCGGGCAGACTAGCGTCCAAGCGCTAATACGTCGTCCTGCAGCAAGCCTGCGAACGAGGGGTTACGGCTTTGCGGCTTTGCAGCTTGCCCCAGTTCTCACCTCCCGGCCCTGCGCTGCCCCTCCATCCCACTGCGCTATTCGCAGATCAACGCTCGTCCAACCAACCTGGTGTCACTCGCTGCCGCCGCCACTCGTCAACGTCCAACGCCAACCCGAGATTTCATCGTCGGCATCCAACTGCACTCAGAGGTGTCGTTCTTGACAAATGCCGCCCCGTATGTCTCTCGGCCACTCGGCCGGTTTGTATATTGTCGTTGGTGTCCCACGACGCCACCAGCCCTGCCACAAAATGACGGGGGACGTCGAAAATGACAGGAAGCGGACCCCCACCGCGTCTGCCAACCACCTCCATTCTATCCCGCGAGAAAATGCACATCGCGGTACACGAACGGCAGAAAAAGAAAAGATCAGGTGGATTTCGGCCGGCTGGGGCTTCCTCGCGGAGGCGTCAAAATCGACGCAAATGCTCCTTGGTCCTTGGTCTTGGGCGGCGGGCACACAATGTGACTGCTCATATCCGTCCGCCATCCGCATATGCATCTTCGCGGCTTTCGCAATACCGTTCTGGTTATGCTTGCGAAGAGCCCGCCATTCATTGTCGTCAATCTAGGGCTAGACTGACAGGATCCCGAACTGCTCCACGGGCTCGCGGCGGAATACATCCTGCAGACCCGGCCCCGATCAGTCGTCAAGGTGAGAAGACCGAAAGCGTCCATGCATTGCAGAAAGCAAGCCGGGTGAAGTTTCCAGGGCAGCGGATTCTCGCCAATGAGTGGCTTCGCAAGCCGTGTAATGGATGCTGGACACGGCGGCTGCAGCCCTCGACAAGGTATATATCTTCATGCTTCCCAATACCGTCCGATCTGCACCTTGTTTGCTCCTTTTTCGCATCAAGCCGGTGCACTATGATCGAATGTAGCAGATTCGGCCACGATCGAGAGACGAATGACATGTATTTCTGTCGTGCGTCACATGACCCTGATGAACTGCTCAACGCATCAACAGCCACAAGCTTGCCCACAAACCTGAAGTGCAATAAAAGGGTGTCGACAGAGCACTGTAGCCAGTTAGACGCGCTTCTGTTCTCATGCTCGCGGGTGGTACATGGCAGTCGCTGCCACTCTGTCGACATGAACGCAATGAGGCTCCGGTAGTCACCGTGATGAAGCTCGGCCGGGCAGATACCGGGCAGATGCCGGGACTACGGCCTCGGCCGACCGGCCATCCGCTCCGTCAATCTCCACACCTACCGGAGGCACCGGCGTATGCCGCCTTCCTCTCGGTGCCGACTCTCTAACAACTCGGCCATGTCATCCGCTGACGCCTCCAATTCAAAGTGCATACCATATCTAACACGAGCGTTGTAAGATATAGAGTGCCAACGAACATGATGAAATGATGAGATCCCTACCCCCGAAGTCCTCGATGCCACAGGCTGAACAGCGCGTCGCAGAAGAAATTAGTGGCCTGGCCGAGTACGAAATCCTCGCACGCAGACGACAGGGAAACACGTGGCTGAAGCGTCCGGTGCCACAGCAGCCCTCTGGACGAGCCTGCAGCGGAATCCCTCATCCCCATCACATTCCAGCATCGTACTCTGGTGTCATTTTGAAACACAGTGTTGTTCTTTGCCGGTGTCGGGGCGAGGCTGCCGCAGAGTTCATCCCGACATCTCAGACATGACACCTGTGCAGCATCACCCGCGAATCGACTCTGCGATGCTCAGCGGGCGGGAGCACGTGCAGAAAGACACGAGACGAAGACTCAATGCGTGAGAATGCCTTGGTCGTCATGTTAGTCCTGGTCTCAAGCCTAGTCAATCTTACTTACCTAGGGCTGCATCAGATTCCCGTGAATGCTGCGAACGGCTGCGGCTCACATCCCAGAGACAAGGCCAAACACCGGCGAGGATCATAATATGGCAAATACAGCGAAGATTTGGCTGCTTGGAACGGAAGACATTGGTCGGTAATATGAAGCTGCGGGCAATAGAATGATCGGCAGGTAAACAACCCCCCTTCACTTTCAGAGGGAGACTGACAAGCACTCCCCAGTACATCTTGAAACACCTTGAAAAAATGCTGCAATGGGTCCCTAATTCGATTTTCCAGCTGTCCAGCATGTTACCAGGGTTTCAGGGTGTGTAGCCCACATTCTCAGGTGCGGCAAAGCCTCGGGAGCCAATCCGTAGAGGGAGAGAGAGAGAAGCAGCCAGCAGGTCGCACTAAACAAAGCAGAAGGCGATTTCGAAGCAAGACACAGCGTTGCGTGGGTAGCCGAGACGCTGGAGGTGACGAAGGGGTCTCGAACTCTTGATGCCGTGGTCATAGCGTCTCCCTGGACGCCGCCAGGAACTGAAATTCGTCACTCTTGGACTTGGAGATTGGGAATGAGAGCACGTAGCTATTCGAGTTAGCTCACGAGCCACGCACACGCCCACGCCCACGCCCACGCCGTGCCTTGAGTACCTGACGCACCAACGATAGCGCATGTCTTGGTAGTATTTTGACTCAGCCCGGTCCGCTCGCTAGCGATGGTGGCACGCGCGAAGTTGGCAGACTGCCAGACACAGTCGATGCCGTTGGAGCGGGAACCGCCACCGGGACTCGGAGCCGGAGCGGCAGCTTCAGTCTTCAGAAGTGTACTGCCCACGGATACCGCGCCGCCAGAGAAGCAGCGATTGATGTGACTCCATTCCGATGCCTGCTGTGGCTCCCGCCCAATGGCTTCTAGAGTGACGGGTGCCGATGGAAGAGACACTCTGGCACGTTGATGACACCGCCGCTTCAAGCTCGACGATGTGACGCGACACAACACGAGACGGGCCGGACGGCAACTTGCGGATAGGCGAGGAATGGGGACGGACATGGCTGTGAGCCTGTGGCAGAAGAGCAGAGAGACAAGGCATGCGAGTGCTGCACAGCCTCAATCTGTCGTGTATTCAGGAGCGCTGTTCCACCGACCCTCATTCCCTCCTCTCAGGGCATCGCTTCAGGATGCGATGGGAGAAGACTTGGCCAACGCTGTCCTGCACCTGTGACGACACTGGGGGGAAGGACGAGAACTGAGCATGGGCCTGGGCACCGATTCCGAGCCCTGGGCTTGAGTTCCACAGAGTCGGATAGAGGATTCGTGTCACGGCCATTGAAGCCCTTCGAAAGCCAGTACTCCGTCTCGAACAGATGATGGGGCTCTTTTGTGCTGATTACGTTGTCCCAAGGCTGACGTCTGAGTGTTCCTGCGGCCTTGAGCAAGGAGTCGCGTGTGCAACTCGCGTGTAACTGTAAACAATCCAACTGGCCCGGCATGTATCCCGGTGCGCGAACTCGCAGAGCCTGAAAAAAGGACATGTCTAAAGAGAGGGATAAAACAGCAATAAAGCTTCGATTTTTTTTTTGCTCTTTACCCACGTGGAGAAACACACCATCAATGGACGTTGCAGGGTGATCCTCGATGGCTGATCAGAAAGGGCGAGACCATTCGCTGGGCCTCTGTCCCCCCCGGTGCGTTCTGATCAGAGCTTTGCGTAACTGGATGATCGGCGGAGACCAACCCCACTTGACGAGTCGCAGAGATATTGACGGCGGCCGGTTTGCCGGTACTGGAACAATAACACACAGCTGGCAGGTTTTCCGCCAGCCCTCTGCGTGGCTGCGCCCTCGTGCCAACTGTACGGCAGCACGAGCATCGAGAAGGTTTTCGAATTCTGCACGAAATCGGGACTCAGTGTTGATGGCTGGTATTGATATTCCCAAAGCCTGGGCCGTTGTGCATCGTCGTCTCGCTAGAGCTCCAAATCTCGTCTGTGGCGTGCGTTGGTGCGGTTATGATTAAAGGCTCAAGCCCACGTCCATCAACGGGACATTCGAGACAAGCTAAGGGCACCGGCGTCGGCTCCCATTGGGCGCGTGTTCTCAGCCATCCACACTATCGCATGGGGAAGGTGGAAGTCGAGCAGGGATAGCGCCGACGGGAAAGGGACGAGATCAGGACGCTCCAACGGTAGCCCTGCTGGCGAGCGGTACGAGCGCCTCCAACGAACGGTACCTCAAATAAGCGGGTTTTGGGCCTGTGATCGAGTATCCGCTTTGTATCGTGTCGTTCCATGGTCCTCCGATCGAGGACCAACAACCGCCGCTTGTTGGAACTCGGAAGCGTGCTGAGCACAACGCGCGTGTCGCCAACCCGCCGTTGAGACGCCAATCGAGAGGCACTGGCATGGCGGTTGTATCGTTGGCACTCGACTCTGATGGAACGTCGAGAGTGATGAGAGAGTCAAGTATGTACTCCGTATGCTCCAACTGTATACCATGGTGGCCCAGATTGTCGAATGGTGCCATGCGAATTGGAGTATTGGACGCTACGCGAGTGGTGACTCTGGTGAGGGCTACTTTGGACAGCATTATTGATTCTTGACTGCAGGTGGCGGGCGGCCTGAGCACATCGACTCCCGAGGACGGCAAGCGCAATCTATTATGCTCATAAACATCAATTTAGGCGTGATGCCGGGTTGCAACGGCAGCAACGCAACGTACCTCTACGCCCCCGCAAGACGGTCGAGTTGGACGACTCTTGACTCTATTCGTACAGTCACGGCCAAGGAGACTGGTCGAAAGCGTCGCTTGTCAGGTTGTCTGTGTGTCCAGCGTTGCCATGGACCTGGGGACCACCTGCAACCCTGGAGCAGTCACAAGACGTGGGCTGCTAGCGTTGGAGTGTTGCAGGGCGGAGGTTGAGGAGGGATTTCCACAAGAGGACGTTGGAAATGCAGATTGCCTCCGATTATCATTTCGTCCGGGTTGGGATTCTTCCAGGACGCATCTGTATCGGTACGGATACCAAGTGTCTTCAATCATACTCGGGTCTCTCGAGGGCAGAGATCAACGGCGGGATTCGGTCTGTACTGTCCATCTCGTCAGCTAGCCCCACGGATCCATGCTTGTGCAAAGAATTGGAGGGGGATGATGGATCTGCGCCGTTGGTGGTTCTGAGTGCTGACTCTCCAGTCAATCAATGTGTGGTGTATTTGTGCTCGTTGGACAGTTGGAGGGCCGATGTGTGCATGCATCGGTGCAGGTTTGTGCAAGGCCACGGAAGGGAACGCGCCTTGGAAAGGTGAGGCTAGGGAGGGAATAGCCCACATTGGCAGTTGCCCACCAGTGACCACGCACCTGCCCAGTCTGCCCGTCTTTGCAAGTTGCCAGTGGCCTAGTGTAGGGAAAGTGCCCACTGCATGACTGCCCACCTGGAAAAGCCTGGAGAAGGAATCTGGGAAGGAGGAGTCTCCTCCCCCGGTCTTGCTCAGTGACCCTCCCCGGCAAGGGTCTGCAGGGGTTGAACGGCGCAAAATTGCCCGTAGCGTCGCATCACCGAGATTCGGCCAATGATCTGCGCTCGCTTGTCAGATTTGCCCCTGTTCTCCGGTCCACCTGGCACGGCCTCGAAGGAGCAACAAGCCCCGGCAGAGGACGAACAGGGCCAAAGTTGACAGCAAGGCCGATGGGAGGACCTTGGAAAGGGACTTGCTTCTTTGCAGGAAAGACCACCCAAAAAGCAAGTATTCAATATTGGCGAGGGCGGGCAAGGGCCTGGGTTATCCTTACTCCACTTTCTGCCCCACCTCACATCATCTAAAGCTCTGCGGTACGTACCCGGCGGCAACCATTTCTGCCCATTTTTAGCCCGTGCCCCGAAAAAGCTAAGCCCCTCTCTCCATTTCCTGCGGGCAGCGGCTGCTCACCATCTTCCACATCGTCCGTACCTCAACTTCCAGTGCCGCTCAGCCATCAGCCAGCAGCTAGCAGCCAGCAGCCAGCAGCCAGCTCCGAGCAATGCAACGCGGGCAATAAACCGCCGTCTGACGAGTTTGCTTGCCAGCAACGGATGTGGTGTACTTTGTGCGGTACAGCACAGCACGGCACAGGAACGGTGCGCCTCCTTTTTTCTCCACACCACTTTGCCTTCCCGCCCTCCTACGGAATAGTGTGCTCTGCAGAGTATTACTGTGCGTACCTACTGCAATAAGGCGGACCATCACTGCCCGGGCTGCTGCTTGCCAGCTTGGTGCTGTACGAATATCGTGTGCGGACTACCGAGTATGGGCGCGGCGACGGCGTTGGCCAGTGATCAGGTACGGAGCACCGCATCTTGGAGTACTGGACTAGCTAGTGACTTGCTCCCCTGACCGTCGACCTGAGAGCTGACCGTTCCGACCAACAACCACCAGAGTCTAGAACAGGCACACGGACGAGCACGCCATGACAGAGGGACCTCGACGGTAGACCATGACCAAAACAGCAATATCATTTCGCGAGATTTACCACCCGTCCCACCGTGGACGTCCGGCAGTGATGGCGGACAGGGGCAACACATGGTCAACACTCATCAATGCATTGTCGTCAATGTTAGCGTTTTCCGGTGAGAGTCGAAAGTTTGGCTTCCACTTGACTATTCTGGACGACATCGAGTCCAGGGTACTATCAAATAGGGAAACAGATGCGCACGATGCGGCACCGTCCAACAACACGGTCTAAGTCTGTCAATCTCTAGACTCTAGAGTAGAAGAGTCCAAGAAGCCAACGGCCCCTCTGTTTGCCAAAAATAATACAATACGTCCGCGTCTGCAAGATTCGGGGGGAGGAAGATCCCGGGTCTACGCGCTTTGCTCGCAAAGGGGATCCTCGCCTTGACTCAACGAACCCGCTGGCAGAAGCCATACGCCGCAATGCTGCAGAAGTGCAATGTTCCAACCGTTTGGCGGGCAGGGACGAGAGTTCAGCCGTGACGGTCGAATCGCATTGTCTTTCATCTCGTCTCTGGGCAATCGTCCATTCTACACAAACCCAATCCAACAATTTCGTCCCAGCTCTGGTCAGGGTTGGGCTGCGTTGTGCTTTGTACACGAGAGAAGAAAGATGCCTCTCGGACGACAACCCGCCGTCCATGTGCCTTGTCAGCTCGTCGGTCTGAAAGCTCAAAATGGTATCCGTTTGGCTCCAAGGAAGTGACCGTTAGCCCTCAGGACCCAGTCAGAGTCAGTGAGACTCAGACTGACTTTGCTGTGCCCAGGGGAGTTGCGTAATGGTCGGGCGACGTTGGCTGTCCCTCTCGGCCGTGGATGCTGACGGGGATGCAATACTTCGTACACTACGGATACGCATAACTCGTACCGGTCGGGGCTAGCTGGCATAGGAAAGGTACTTGACGGCGGTCTTCAGGTGTGGTGAGAGTAATAAGATGACGGGCCGGAGAAGCACCACAGTCGTCGTACCACACAGGTCAAGCCATGCCGCCTGCGTGTGCACGAAGTGAGGACCAGTAATTGTTCTTACGAATACTGCAGGTAGGCAAGTCGTGCACTTGTGCCAGCTGGGCCTTGACTCACCTGCAGGGCCTCATGAAGTGTAGACTGTCGGTGCCATGGTAGGTGGTGAACATGCAAAAAGGGGGTTGACGCTTGGGGACGACGGGAAGAGGAAAAAATAGAATCGAGCCAAATGTAAGGTACCTTATGCCGTACCTGAGGTGCACTAAGGTACTGGTAGACGTCTTAGCTAAGGCAAGTACCTTCTCGCCTTGAGCCACGGCCAAAGGGTACCGCACGCCCCCCTGCACACCCTCGAGTTTGTGCCTGGACTTGTTAATTGCCTTCGCGCGGTACAGCCCAGCAGTGCCCGGCTTGGTTCCTCTGCCTTTCCAGCAGCCAGCAGCCAGCTCCCGTCCCTTCTTCCCCCGTCAGCACCGCGATCAACCTGGACCAAGGTACCCGTGTACAGAGTACGAGGGTCAGGTACTTGTCCACGCGTGTTTCTCGCACATAAAACAGGTGGTGGGATACTTCGGACTTCGTACCCGCCATCCCATCACCACCCACCCGGTCCATGCTGGCCCATCCCATCTCGTCCCCTCCCTCCCTGACGGTCGACCTGAGCCCTCACCACACTCCTCCTGGACTCCTCCCTCTCCTCTCGCTCTCTTGGTTCTCTTGGTCTTTCTGCTGCCACCCCCGTCCGTCCTGATCAACCCCCCGGTCTCTCGTCCCTCGTCCCTTGTCGTGTGTTTCCATCAATCAATCAATCTCCCATCCTTCGCTGCCTCGTCCATCCACATTCCTTCTTGCGTCCCCTTCCATTCCTTTACACCACCCTCGCTTTTTTCTCTCTTCCCTTCCCTTCCCTTTTACTCCTCACGCTCGCTCTCCTCTTGTCGCCCCCACCTCTCTCCCGACCTCGTCTCTTCGACAGTCGAATTTCGACATCCTCTCGCCTCCGTCAAGAATCCATCCGGCGACGTCGAACCTCCTCTCCTCCGATTCTCAACCTGCGCCTCCTCACGCCGTGAAAGGGGTCTTTTTTGCCGTCGAGCCGATCTAACCGCCCCCCTTATGTGCTTTGGACGCATTTGAAGATCGTCGTCGAGGTTCCGCGCCGACAACCTGCCAGTTTCCCCATGCATTCGACAACGGGAACTGCCATAATCTCAGCCGACGTGACGGATCAATAGACGTCCTCGCCCAATTCAATCTGACGATATCTCGTCGAGTCACTCATTTCACACACACCAAAAACCAAACGCCATCACGCTCATTGACAATTCCTTGTCAAGTACATTCGTTCTAGAACACCCTGACAAAGTGAGTCGCCAAGCGTCTTGCGAGCATCGACGCACTTACTAACACCGGAATGAAGACACCCATCTACTAAACACCAATATTGGTAACATTACAATCGCTAAAGACCTTCAATTGAATATACGATAATCGGGAAACGAAACCATGCACGCCAAGACCGCTCTTCTGGCCGCCGCCCTCGGCCTGGCCTCGACAGCCTGCGCCGAACAGGAACGGCCCAAGATCTACTTTCCGCGTCACGTTAAACGACAGTTTGTGAATTCGACGAGCACGAGACAGGAGACGTTCCCCCCGGCGCCCGAGAGCACCACTTTCCAGTCCACCGCGTCGGCCTCCATCAGCTCGACGTTTGGTGACATCCTCACCAGCCTTTCGGACTCTCTCTTTGGCTCATCGTCGACCATTCCCACGCCGTTGTCGACTTCCACAATCTCCTCGGCCCCCGAATCCGCACCTCCGACGACAATTTCCACCACAGTCTCGACCCTCCCCGACGGAAGAGTGACGACCGTCATCATTTCCAGCACCGTCATCTTTGACCCGACAGAGACGACCGAGACAACAAGCTCCGCCGTGCCCACCTCTACTCTTCCCCCGGTTACCGTTCTGCCGACGACCAGCGAAACCTCGACAGTTTCCAGCGAAGCCGCCTCGACCTCGCAGGCTGCCGCGACCACCCAGCCCACGTCGACGACCCCTGAGACGACCACTGCCGCCGTTCAGTCGAGCGCCGCCGCGACCTCTTCCGAGGCTGTTCAATCCTCCGCGGCTGCGACTACCACTGTCGAGTCCGTCCAGACGTCCGCTGCTGCCAGTACCTCCGAGGCCGTTCAATCGTCGGCAGCTGCCACCTCCGCTCAGGCTCCCACCACCGCGGAGGCGTCATCTATCGCTCCTACCACTGAGGCCGTCCTTAGCTCCGCTGCTCCCACCAACGTCGAGGTCACCAACTCGACCGCCGAGGCCGTTTCTTCGACGCAAGCTGCTACGAGCGCCCAGGCTGTATCCAGCGAGGCTACCACAGCCGCATCCTCATCTGGTATCCTCCTGGCTCCCACCGGGGTCGTGTCCGAGACTTCCAGCACCCAGGCTACCACCTCAGCCGAGCAGGCCCAGCGTTCTTCGGCGGCTGCGAACCCCGAGACTACCAGCGCGGTTCCCAACGTCAACGCTACCGAGCCCGTCGTTTCGTCATCCCAGAGCTCCGTCGTCCTTCCCGTTGAGACCACCACTTCTGCTGCCGTTCAGGTGACTTCCGGTGCCTCCACCGAGACCACATCTGCCGCCGTCTCCGAGAGCAGCAAGCCCACTAACCCGCTGGACCCCATCGTCTCCTTCGTTTCCAGCCAGGTCGCCGTTCCCACGAACCTCACCGAGCCCATTGCCAACGCAACGTCGTCCGAGGCCCCTGTAGCCTCGACGTCCGATGTTGTCATCCCGACGCCTACCGCACTCCCGGCCCCTACGGACCCGACCTCGACTAGACTGCCCATCCCGACCGAGCCTGTTGCCAACGTCACCTCCTCCGCCGAGGCCTCTGCCGCTCCCACCACGTCGCTCCCGGCACCCACTGAGCCCGTCGCGAACGCCACGACCTCTGTTGAGATCTCTACTGAGCCCACCACCAGCAGCCTCCCCGTTGTGAGCAGCGAGCCCGTCGTCAACATCACCTCTTCCACCGAGGTCCCCGTGTCTGTTTCCACGACCGCTCTCCCTGCTTCCGATGTCATCAACGCCACCTCAACCGAGGTCCCCGCCGGACAGACCACCACCAGCGCCCCGGTCACCATCACCGACAGCACTGCCATTTCTGTTCCGACAACAACTGCTACCGGCTCCGTTGAGATCCCCGTGAACACCACGTCTACCGAGACCTTCCCGACTACCACGCAGCTCCCGACCTTGTCTCAGCTGCCTACGGCCTCCACTACTATCAGCAACTCGACTGACAGCTTGACTGTGGCTCCCACGGCTACGCCTTCCTCCCTCTCGTCGACCTCAGTCGCCAACGAGACCGCCACAGCCACCAACGTCGTCCCCACTACCACCGAGTCTTTGTCTACGGAGCCTGCCGCGACCACCACTCTCCCCGTGAACACTACTGTTCTCTCGGAGACTTTGATCGAGACCACGCCGACCACGCCTACTGTCACCGTGCCGCCTACGACGACTCCCATCATCACGAGCATACCCGCCACGGCCACCATTACTGACTCGGAGTCCTGGTTGCCCAGCACCATCATTGTCGAGCAGTCCACTTCGCTCAGCACGCCCACGGAGGCCCTTGCCCCGACGTCGACCATTCCTCTGCCCTCTGACCTTCCGAAGGTCATCAGCGGCCCGGACCCGAACGTCGAGCAGCCCAAGGACACCATTCTCCTGCAGATTGGTTTCCTGCACGGTGAGAACTACCAGCACGTCAGCAAGAACCCCAACGCTGCCGCTCAGATCTTCACGTGCCTGCCCAAGGCTTTGGCCGATGCTGCCGGCCTGGACATTAGCCAGATCCAGATGACCAAGCTCGTCCCCTATGACACGTCCCAGACCCTCGGCTACATCACCACGCTCGCCAAGTTCTACTACCCCAAGAGCATGGTCGACACCCTGCGCATGGATATCAAGATTCCCAACTCGGCCATCTACAACAACCCCGATCAGCTCGTCTACAACCTTACTCAGAACATTAACCCTGCCATTGAGATCATTCCTGGCCAGGAGGATGACGGCACCTCTACGGGCGGAGACGGATCTTCGTCTACCTCTACCCCCAACAACCCCAACGACCCCTTCGGCACCGGTGATGACGGCTCCAACCAGTCTCCCATCCAAAAGGGCACTGCCGCCGCCATCGGTATCGGAGCTGTGGGTGTTGCTGCCGCGTACGGTGCTGCCATGTTCATCATTGCCCGCCGCTACAAGCAGAAGAAGCAGGCTCACCGCCGCGCCAGCTCCCTCACCTCATCCGAGATGCGCTACACCGGTGCCGGCAGCCCGCCCATGATGGGCGGTGCCCTGATGAGCCAGGACTTCTCCAACTACGGAGCCGCCGGTGGCCGCGAAAGCCACGGCAGCGGCCGTACGAGGGGAAGCGGTCCCGGCAACTCTGCGAGGACGGCCTACATCTCGGCCCCCGTTGCTGCCGAGAACTCTCTCGGCTGGAACTGATTGACGACATAGACGCCATTTCCATATCTGTCACCATTTTACGCTTCGATACCCTTCTGGAGGATCCTGTTTGAACAAGATGCTAGGCGGTTGCCCGGTATCCACCGACGGCATTTAGAGAGGGCACGCCCCTCGGCCACGAGCCCCATCTGCTCGAGAGATTTCTTTCTTTTTTTGTCTTTTTGTCTACAAATACCCTTCTACCGCGAGTCGATCAATGTGGATCGGCTCGTCGGCACCCTATTACCAAACGCACTCAGCGCCGCCGTGTTTCCTGCTCCGTCGCGGGCGGACATGGCTGGTGCGGGTCCATTTTTATTTTTATTTTTTAATATCTTGTATCTGTGTTGAGGATCTATACATGGGGCGAAGAGCTGGATGGTGGGACGCATCACAATCGCGTCTTTTCACGACATGCGAGGAGTTGGAAAGTGGCTGGGAAAAAAATGGCGATACCCTGGGGGGAAAGGAATATAGGCCGGGCTTCCTTGTATATTTTTGCAGTCTGAGGCGTGGCCTCTTCACCTCGGTCCTTTTTTCTTCCCCCGGCCTGTCAAGCTGAGATGCCTGTGTGTTCGCGCAAGGGCGTTTTCAGACAAGGGGTCCCTTTTTCCCGCAATGTCGCAGATACAGCGAATAGAGTAAGAACAAGAGAACGAGAGAACCAAAAAAAAAAACAATATTAAAATCACTGCGTCCGAGGGTCCAGCGTCGTAATGTGTGCCGACCTGCGCAGGCTGTAAATAGATCCTAGTTTAGTCGCCGTATATATCTGTTGCAGCACCCTGCGTATGCGTATGCGTCAGCATGCGCATCCCTGTCTGGTGACCTAGTTGATTGAATGTATCATCGGCAATTGGGCATCACGTGTAAGTGGCTAGCATTCGTTATAAGAGTATCAACTAATAAGTAATACCAGAGCGCGGCAGGCTGATCTCAACGAAGAGAGACGCAGCATACTTGACCGTCTCGAACTCGTGCAAGGTCGAATGAAGCACCGGTCAAAGTCATGGCATGCCAATGAGCCATCATGAAGGCGAGGCTGAAGCTTTAAATAGGTACGCGAGCCACGTGGTGAGGCAGGCAGGCAGGCAAGGCTAGTGGAATGACATTGGGAAGGCAGTAACACGCATTGTGGGGAGAGTGTGGGGTCACGTCGATGTGGGAAGGCGCGGCCCGGAAGTGAGGCCGACGATGTCAGGAAGGTATCACGGGTGGCGTAAGAAGAGCGATCAAACATTGGTTTTTTACCAACGACTTTCCATGCACGCAGCGAATCACACTTTGCAGGAACCATTTGATTGAGTCTGCATTCATCGCGGCCGTTGCCGCCCTCAGTCATGCCAGGGTCGCCGCCTCTCTACGACCGTTGCCTCTCGAGCACCCTACGACCGTTGCCTCTCGAGCACCCCACGATCGTCGCCTCTCTCATAATCCTAATCCCTCTCATCCGCCCTCATCCATCCCTCACCCTCATCCATCCCTCACCCTCATCCATCCCTCACCCTCATTCATCCCTCACCCTCATCCCTCTCATCCCTCATCCATCTCATCCATCCCTCACCCACCCCATAGCCGCTTGGTAACCACCAAGTGGTCCTGCTCATTCCTGGACACCACTCTCACCCGCAAGCATGGCGTCTCCGTATCGCGATGGAGCGAACACTTGGACCCGCTCAGTACGTCTACTTGTTCGACATTGTCACTCAACGCCTGCCACAGACAGTAGTTCTCTCGGTACTCAGCCCCCTCCAGAAAGCTGACAACCTTCTGGTACATGTCGTCGTCCACGACGACTCCGGCGAGCTCCTCAATCACGCGCTCGTAGGCCATGCGCTCATCAACCACGTTGAGTGAAATCAGACGCGCACACACCGTCATCGCCGTTGCGACCCATTGCTTGTCGGCCTCGTTTGCAAAGAGCTTGGGCGTCATCTCCAAGCGTCTCTTGAGAGACAACGGCTCGTTGGCCGCGTCGCTGCCTTCCATGTGGAAGGCGTCAAACAACCTCTGCAGGGTCTCGTTCCTTGCTTTGAGGTCGGCAGAGAGCCTCGCAATCTCCTGCTCTGAAGAAAACGCATCCTCACATGACTGGAGTCTTTCCAGCATTGCTGTATTATCAGCTTGGGATCGTTCGAGGTCCCTTGTAACCCTCTCGACTTCGCCCCTGGCCTCACCGAGGTCCTTCTCGACGCCCATCTTGGCATTATTCAGGGCGTTATACTGAGCCATCAGATCACGAATTCTCTTATCGTGATCCCTTCCTTCATCTTGTATCTTCTTCTCCAAGGCCTTCTTCTCACCCATGCTCACCTTTAAGGATCCGATCTCGGCCGCGGCCTTCTCCTGGCCACCCGAAAAGGCGCCCATCTGTCGGCTGAGAGACTCGACGGCGGCCTTCATCTCATCCACGGCGCTGGCGGTGGTCTAGCCACAGGTCACGTTGGCGTTGAGCCGATCCCTCTTCATATAGTCTGTCCCGACCGACTTGGCGTGTTTCTTGGGCGCGGACTTGTTGACGCGGACGAAGTGAGGGCGTCGCTGTTCGCGCTGCGGCGGTGGCGGCGGCGGGAGCATGAGACCCGGTGCCGGTCTAAACCCCAGGTATGGGGACCTGCGTGTAGCTGCAGACTCGAGCGCGGAGTCCACCTCTGGCGTCGGCTCCCTCTGCCACGTTCTCTCTGCACCAAAGGTCACGGTCTCGCGCGTCGGACTCTCTGGGACACACAGCTCGGGACCCGCGGTCGCTAGTGGAAGTGGTCTTTCTGCCAACGATTCGGCCGCTGCACCCATTTTCAGAATGCCAATCACGTGTTGGCCGTCGTTCTCACCAAGCACCCGGTCGATCATGGCGTGCAGCTGATCGCGCGGGCCACTCATCACAAATACCCCGTCGGGTCGAGTAGGATCAACAATCGCGCCGTGATGGCCAGTATCCTTTGTCACTCTGAACCCGTTGGTTCCTTCTTCCAGACTCACGTCGAGTCGGCCAAAGGCGGGCCTGTTGGAGATCTCGGGCCGACGCCGTTTGTTGGCTGGCAACGACGAGCTAGGCCGCTCGCGCTTCTCTTCCCCATCGCCGGTGCGATTATCTGTTTCGAATTCTCGACTGCTGGCGCGGTCGCCACGGTCTCCGTGTCTCGATGAATCGGAATTCTGCGACATGTTCTAGTGGTGTTAGCAAAAAGTTTGATGAAGAGGTTTGGTTACGTACAACAAGAAAAGCGGTTTTGTATTTGCGTAAAAAGGAAGAAAGACGAATCGGTAAGGTAGCGCGCTTTGTCTTGCCTCCTTGTGAATCGAGAGTGAGTTCCGGCCCCCACTTCGGTGGCCTCCGTGTGCGGTGTAGTCACCTCGAATCGGTCCGGCCCCACTGTTTCTGACAACCGCCGACTCGAGCATCCGAGGAGCCGCCGGGTAGACTACGACATTTTAAGAGGGTCAGGGAAGTGAACATGTCGCGGGCTTGATCAGAGTGGCCGCTCGGCAGACTTCGATCATTCAACAGGGTCACGGGAACGAAAGCACATTTCACGAAACAAGTATTTTGTAGCGCAAAGTTTTCAATTTGATTGCACTACCCCCCCCGGTGAAGGCCTGTCCACGCCTCCCAATCGGGAGCTCACTCACGCCTCTCGGTGTGCTCATCCATGCCTCTCAGCGGGCTCCTGATGCCTTCCCATGCTCATCCCCGCCCCAATGGGCTCCCCATATCCCCAATGCTCATCCAAGCCTCCCAACGACCTAATCCATGTCCTCTCGCAATCGCTGTCCCGGTCAGTGACCCTTCGTCCTCCGACATCTCGTCATCCACGCCTCAATGGGCTCCTCATGCCTCCCAACGCTCACTCCAGCCTCCCAATGGACTAATTCATGTCTCCCCGGAAGGAGCTCCATTCGACCGCGGCATTGAAACCGCTCTGCAACGAGTTTCCGCTGTCGCGGACATTATCCTCACTAGAAGCATCCCTCTCCTCGAACAGGGGGCGGTGGCCGATGAGCTGCTCAGCACTGTAGCGGTGCGTTTCCGGATCCTTGGGCAAGTTTGCCCTCTGCTCTCTCCAACGCTTGAATTCAAAGCGGACCCAGGGACACTCCACCTGCTTCAATCTCGCGACAAAAGCCAAGGTCCAAGGGTACACTCCTCGAAGGTCCCAAGACGTAAATCCCTGATCGATTCTTTCCTTCTCCCACAGGATCCAAGGCTTCCGGGAGCGGATGGGGGGCATGTTGATGCGGCGGTAGAACATGATCTCGTACTGCTGCACCCAACTGAGCTCTCCAGAGCGCTGGCAGTCATCCCAGTTATGAGCAGTCGTGTTGCATAATGGACAGCCCGAAACGAATCCAGACTCATCCGGGATCGGACAGTCGCAGAGATAGTGGTGCTTGTGCCCACATGAGCCGCAGACGGCAGCGATCTTGAATCTCTTGCTGGAATCAAGACACTCTAAGCCACGAGTCTCGAACTCGGCCTGTCTTTGCCTGGTCAAGTGGACCTTCTTGCGGTAAGGGGGATAAGTCCTGGATTGCCAGGTCCACTTATCCTTCACGGGCTTGTTGACCAAGAGGCTCTGCCGCTGGGCCCATTCCTTAGCAGCCGAAAGCCTCTGAGCGTCCCGAGAGGACCCGGCTTCATGAGTAGACCGTTGAGTCTCACTTTGGTAGAATGGACTTGTGTCCCGATGGCGTGATCCCCCGCGACTGTGATCGTCGCGCAGGCGATACTGCTGCACCTCTCTCTGCTGGTATTGCGGAGGGCTTCTTTCGCGGGAGTGACGTTCGGGGTAGCGCTCACGTGGAGCCGAGAATCCAGAAATGGACGGATCGCATTCGCTGGCCGGAGGAGGAGCAAAGTGGCTGCTGTTGTTGGTGGCCAGCATTCGAGCCCTCGAACGGGCATCCGCGGTCTTGAATTTGGCGTCATTGGCACGTCGTTGATACTGCCGGTCTATCCAGTCTTTTACATCTGGCTTATGGAAACGAATCATCACCCTGACTTCTGTAGCTCCAGCGAATGACGAGCTGGCCAAGTCATTGAAGGAGCTGGCCAAGTCATGGAACTTGCGACCACACTCTGCCACTGAGCCAGACACATAAACAGTGTTGTCTGCGAGCTTCGGCGTCGATCCTAGGACCCTTGGCGCTTTCGCCTCCATGAGATCTTTCAACTTTTTACCCAACTCTTCAGGTTTGTCGCCCATTTTTTCGGCAGCAGAAAAATGGTTGTGGTGGTGGTTTTTGTTTGTTGTTGTTGTGATGATGGAGAAGAGGAAGAAAAAAGAAGAAAAAGGGAAAGAACGTGGGCAAGTCCAGTGGTCCAAAAGGCAAGTAATAGAAATCACATGACCTTGGAGGTTTGGAGGGAAATAAAGGACTGCGTATTCGCAGTCTTTTGTGCAGAGGCACACGGGGGCGCGTGATGCCTACAGCTTCCAGGCCGTGGCTTGGATGCCTTGGTCAGGCCGTAGCTCACATGCCTTGGCCTTGTCCACCTGTCCAAGGGCTTCCATCGTCTCCCCTTCAACCATCAACTCAACCCATGCTTTCAACATGGCCACGCCACGACTCGTACCCACCTTTGAGATGCCTCTGATGAATGATGTGAAGGCCAGGCTGCTGGAAGCTCTCGATCGAGGGGACTCCCTCTACACGATATCTCTCATGTTCCCAGACATTGCCAGAGACGTTTTGTTGTTGACTTGCTCGCATAACAGCACGGTTGACCAGCTCGAAAACGACTGCAGGCATGGCAGGAATTCGTTGATGCTCCTGCATGCGATTCCGCGGAAGCTGCTGAGGTCTCTGATCCAGGGCACCCTGGCATTTGACGCTGTGCATTCACGAGACGCGAGCTGCTACCCGGAAAAGGGACAGGGCATCTATGCCATTGACGTATACATTGAAAATCGAGGAGGCAAGTTTCTCAGTCACGACGAGATAACTAGCGTCATTGCCGAATTGAAGGGTTATATCAAGGCATACCGGATCAACTCGCGAACCCTGCAGGGTCATCAGCGTGACATTGGTGACAGGATGCTCGTCAAGAAGGCCTATGCCTTTGATGATGCATTTGGGACCTCGGCGAGCGACAAGACACGGCTGATTACCAACGCTGCCGACGTGTTTTTGGCCAATAACTTGGTGAAGGCGCTCCAGCGCAGACAGCGTGTGGTTACGGACTCTCGTCATTTCAGAGTGCATCAGATCCAAGGCATGCCGTATGTCGGATGCTCCGGTGACCTTGAGACCCGGGTGCCCGGTTACAGGACCAACAACGCCCTTGGAGGCAAGCGCACGCTGGACCCGGCCTCGATCAACACGCCGTTGATACTTCTTCTTTCGGCCATTAAGGTCATTGGACTGGTGCCCAAGACGGTGTCGAGAGTGATACTCAAGACCTGGGAACCGGGGTTGCTGCCCATGGCAGAAAGGCTCGTCATTTCATTGGCGCACTCCAACTATGCACAGGATGGCTTGAACGTGGCCGAAGGCGGCGGGCAAAGGGGCAAAGACAAGGCCTCAACTATGCGGCAAGTGGAATCTGAAGTATTGTGTGTGCGGCCCTTTTTCAACACAAACATGCAGCTTTCTCTTGCCGACCTTGAGCAGAGACGTGTGTTTCTGGACAACCTCGAGGCGATTGACGGCGCGAGGGGGGAGATTTTGAAGCTGTCTCGTGAATATGACATGCACAAGCTTACGCTGGACAGACTGCTGAAGCAGTGGGAGACCGAGCTGAAGAAGGTCATGAAGAGCAAGACGGACAGCTTGCGATTGCAGCACACTGCGGTCACTGCCGAAGAGCTTCAATGGCAGAGGCTCGACGATATCACAATGAGGGTGTGTCTACGCCTCGGGATAGAAGACGACGAAGACGAAGAAGACGAGGGTGAGGGTGAAGGGGTCATAGTCCTGGACTAGACCACGGCGTCGTAGAGGAGGCCGCTTTAGGCGTTCCTGACATCGTGGAGTAGACCGTCATGGGCGTCGTGCCGTCGTGACCGAGACCAACCGTGGTTAGATAGATGTGTGCGTGCTGATAATAAAATCTATTTCTCGTGAAAACCATGTGCGATTATGCGTGTCTCATTTGTCTCGTCTGTTCCGGTAGTGTGTGCTCAAGTTTGGTGATCTGGACGGCATCGGTTAGCTTTATCCAGTAAGTGTTGCTTATTATCGGGGTGAAAACATGGACGCGTGATGATTGGGACTGACGGGTGAGCGTGTCTGTGAGAAAGCTGCCAAGTGATTGAGTCATCGCCGTGCCCAACAAATGCTTGACACTCACTTGCCAAACGTGGCCGCGCGGCACCTTCCCATACACATTTTCGCATCTCACTTGAGAAGTAAGAGGGACCATGTGACTTCATTCAGGCCAGCCCAGGTATAGAAACCATGGTGATCTCCCCCCATATCGGCTTCTCACACAGTATCAGTAAGTATTGATGATGGTCCTGACCCGATTGCTGTGGCGAACTCCAAGATAGACGACTCTTTATAAACGCTGACTCGCCGCTGTTCTTCCCGGGCCCTGCAAGTCAACAGATCTGTAACAGATCTGTACCCAGGAACGCTGCAGACGTACGACTTGATCAAGACCGAAGCCAGATAGAGACAGACTATGATTGTCCGCACCGCTCGCGGAAGGCACGCCGACGGGCTTGTTACCGCGAGCTCCGTCATGTCAACAAAGGGCCCCTAGGGTGAGCAACCTCGCGCCTCATCTCTACAAAGACGACGACTGTCCCCGGGACGGTCTCCATACCACGTCGACCATGGGACGCCTCATCTCAACGCGGTCGATGAACGCATCTCGGTTTAGGAAAATGGACTACATGGACGTTTATTCCGCGGCGAAGTATACAAAGAAGACAAGAGGGAAATGACAGAGGCGGTAGGTATTGAGGCCTTGCTCATAACCCGGGGCCGGCCTAACGCCGCCGCAATGGATCGGTCAAGTCGGGTGGTATGAGTGATCTCGAGACCGAAGTCTGAGCCGCTACTGTGGATGGACAAAAGGGCATGCCAGTCGAAGAAAGGCTCACTATTGAGCTTGCTCAAAGCCATGTTGATGCGGTCAGGCTGGAGGCCTATGCTGCATGACCACAAGAGCATGCCTCTCGAAGAAAGGGTTACCGTTGGGGAGGCTTTACTCTTGCGGAAGACGTAAAGGGCCATGGGCCCATGGCTAGATATATACACTGGGGTGAGGAGCGCAGGGCATGGTCAGGTGGACGTTTGATCATACCCGGACGAGACTCCATCAGTACCCGAGTGTGCCAATGTATCCGGTCGCCCTATCAGGTCCTCGTTTGCTATGTCCCGGCGGGAGGCCCGGGCCAATGAGTTCGGCAGATGGAATTTTCTATTATGACGCGATAACCAGTCTGTTTATCTTTAAGTCTGCAACCGAGTTTAATGGTCAGGTATCCACATCTCAGGGAATGGGCAGTACTCAGCTCACCTTCGAGGACGTTGAGGCTATTCAACGCGAAATGTGGCGCTGCTGGTTCCAGCATGGCATGTTCTTCTTGGGTTCCTATTGAACACGGGCGATCCATGTGGATGCGGGTCAGTGACCCCGACTCATTGATCGACTACAATTACGGCGTCTGTTCGTTGCCCGCCGATTCCGTTACCAGGGATATCGATAGCCTCGTCAAGGGCCACTGGCTGCAGTGGGTGTATTCTGGCGGGTGTATGACTAGCTGGCTCATGGCTACATGGGCTCGGCAACTCATAGGTCTCGATGACTCGATATGACGAGCTCATACGACGTGGTCAGAGGACCTTTAAGGAGATTGTTGGGAGGAAGAGTAGCCAACACCAGCGGCATCTTTCTCCTAAGATAAAGATATTGTCAAAGTCACCACTCCGGCAACACAAGAACGACTCGACATGACGAGCTCAGAAATGAGTGCGTCAAGTATATGCTCGAGATAAGGAAAAAGATCAATCCGGGCACAGAAGCAGCGTTTGGAAGCCATTCGATCACCGAATAATGCGAAAATCCCGGGGCCTTGATCCGTTGGGAAGCAATTCCCTACAGCAACCCACAGCGACGGTATGCTTTTGTTCAAAAGCTACGACGTGGTCGGAGCTGGGTCGCATACTCCTAATACTGAGATACACGAGGTTGTGGGATAGGGACGGCTCACCGAGAGCCATAGGCCACAGATGACCAACGCAATAACGACACAAACAAGATTTTCACAATGTGATCGTCCGGTAACGGAGTTAACCAGATCTCGAGGTATCGCATGGGTGCCCGGCCCTGTGAAGCCATTAACCTTTGCGGCAGCATCCGAAGACGCTAAATAGAGTTACCGCGTGATACTTGTCGTAATACTCGCCTACGAGATCATAACGATGGATGCGAGGACGTTGTGGCGTGGTTCATGGCTAGCTTCCCGTGCGAGGGGTCAGATACATAATGGCAAAACCCACGTAAATTTCATAACAAGTTGGGCGATTGGTTTAGTGGTATAATGACCGCTTAGCATGCGGTAGGTCCTGGGTTCGATTCCCAGATCGTCCAAATCTTTTTTGCAGTTTGCGTCTTTTTGCTTGATTCGACAAAGAAAATGATGAGAAGGATGTCGTGCTTCAGTTAAACAACCTCCCAGCTGCTCTGAAGCTAATGCCGCACGAGTCGCGATCTGTTGACGATGAAGAGTCACGCCATGCAACAACAGGTTGGACTGAACTCAGCATTCCCAACCAAGCCCCCCCACTTTAAATCACGAAAGCAGCTTCACCATCGCATCTCGAATCATTCACACTCCATTATTGATACTGGAGCTAATAGCAACACAGAGGAGAGCCCATCCCGCCCATCCGACCAACGCCTAAGCCATGTCATTGCAATCGTGAAATGTAGCAAGTTTTCTGAAACGCCAGATACCCCGGGGCCGTTCACCCTCACAAAATAGTACAGTTCAATCACGCTTCCTTGGCCACGTCGCTGGTCGAGGGCGTCGCAAGCTCCTCACCGGCAGCGGCAGCTCTGAGGTGAGATGGGTGGGCAGGCTCGCTGGGGTTGCCTTGGGAGCTGGTTGCAGGCAGCAGATCCGTCAATTGTTTCTCTGAGCAATGTCATTAGCATCGACACCGCCGACACATCTTGAGAAACTTACCCAAGTCTCTTATGCGGTGCCGGAGCATCTGATTCTCTCTGACCAGCATCTGGGTCTCGGCCTGGTAAAAGGCGCTTTCGTCACGACCTCCAAGGGTATACTGTTCGCCGCTGTCGCCGCTTATAGATGTTGAGCGCAGTCTCGGGGAAGCGCCGCGACTCGGGGTTCGAGAGCGGCGTTGAATATCTGCTCTCGCCATATCAAATGAGCTTCGTGGATGGGGCACAACCGGGGATCGTGAGAAGGAGCCCGAGGAAGGCAGCGGAGCGAAGCCCGAAGGCGGCTGCGAAATGGGGGTTCCCTGGTTGGATCTCTCAGGAGCAATCGCCGAGTCCTCGACAGCAGAAGAGCTCTGCCCCTGGCCCGCTTGGAGTTGCTGAAGCTGCAACTGCTGCTGGCGGATCATCTGGAGGAGGCGGTTCTATGTGGTGTCAGCTTGTGCAATAAGTCTGAAGTAGACTCAAACATACAACTTGAGCTTCCTGCTCGGCTTCAAGCTCCTGATGGAGCTCTCCCAGACTGGGCGCCCGATTGTGATGGGGATCACCACCGGGAACCATCATGGGCGAGGTTGTCATGGGCTGCGGACTGGCGGTTGTGGCACCAGTCTGCCCATGTTGGTTATCTGCGACCATCTCACCCGGGCCGGGAAGAGAAGGATCGTTAAGCTGCAGGTTCATGAGAACCGTAGACAGTCTTCGGCCGGCGTTGGGTGACTGTCGACTTCGAGATACGGAACCGCTGGAGGAGCCTGATTTAATTAGCAAGTGTGTTCCGATGCATTAGGAGTTACGCACGTCGAGACGGTTCGTTTTGAAGGCTAGCGTTCAACGTAGCTGCGGCTTGCAGCGAGGTTGACTGGCGTCGCGGCGAGCCAGCGGGGGACTCCCCACGAGGAGCTGGACCGCCAGCCGCAGGAGGGAGAGGAGCTTCGCCGTTGATGGATGACATTCTGGATCGGATGGGTAGAGATGGAGGAGATGAAGGAAGAGAGTTCAAGTCTGGTGCCATGTCATTTGTGAAGGACTATCTTGGTAAATCGAGTGGCTGATGCGGTGCCAGGCAGTTGAAGCGAGGGATCGTCGTCGCGATGGTCGTAGCTACCTATGCGGTGACAGGCGGGAAGGTGGGGTGAATGTGCGTCAGAAGTGGCGCGTGAGGTACCCAGTGTGAGGTAATCCCGGGGAGTGCCAGGGCGGTGGGAGCTATGGGAGCTGGAAGAGGTTGAGGAACTCGAGGAGCTTGAAGGATTCAGAGGAAAGGATAACAAAGGGCGTCAAAGGCCGAACACAGTCATTGGTGGCATGCTTTCTGGATGTCTCCGACCGACGATTCCTGAGTCTTGAGTCCTTCATTTTTGCAGGTCACGAGTGATATCGGTCGATCAACGAACCGCAGTAGCAGGTGCTTCCAAGTTGAGGGGCAGCTCACCAAGGTACCTTCTAGGTTCACTTCCTTACCTAAGGCGGTAGGTGCCCTGGAGTGACGTCTTGCTCCCCGCGAATCAGAGTGCGTGAGGTACCTGACGACGGGGACCTTCTTCAACTGCGAATTCTTAGTCATCATAACCTGACGATGGCACCACATCCATCATGATCCATCATCCGGATAGACCGTGACCACAGGAGGCCATGATCCCGTTTGCAGCTGTCCCTACACGCCGAATGCCATCTCCGTCAGCTGCCTGACTCTTGCCAGCTGAATCGGGGTCTTGCCCGGGCTCTCTCTCTCTCTCTCGCGAATATTACCCTTGATTCTGGAGTCCCAGCCCACGGGCCCTGAAATCGCCTATACCTACCTCTTCAACATCGCCTTGACCTGGCAAGCCACGGCTGCCGTTCGTACACGTTTCCACCTGAAGGGACCACCAAAAACAGATACTCAAGCCGGACGGCGCGCTGTCACCGAAGGCCGAAGGGACTTGCGAGCGGGCTCCCGTTATTTATCTTCCGGTGTCTATTCTCGTCGGGGTGCGTTCTAGCTGGAGCACACAGGTCTCAGGTGAGCACCATGCGCAAGCGGCAAGCCGCCGCCTGGGTGAGGTGATGCGCAACGGGGCCTAAGCTTTCTATTCTGGACATGTCGCCGCTAGATCTCCCGCCAACGCCGCCGGGCTGGGCAACCGTCGCAACGACTGCTCCCGATCATGGCGCCGCCATGGCCTGCCTGGCAGAGCTGCTGGTCTCTGAAATCCAGCCCCGAGGGACCGGCCAGCGGGTGGTGGCGTCGATGCCCTCAAAGTCTATGTCGCCATGCCGGAGCTAGAATGGCGTAACGCATGCCTCGCTGGCTGGTGCTCTCACTTGTGACGATTCGGCTGCACCAAAGCTGCCAGACATAATCCGAGAAAGACTTACGTGCTGTCGTTTCTGCAAACAAAAAAAACGCCACTGTGGATGTGGCCATTTGGTGGACCGTGTGACGACGGGCTACCGTAGTTGACCGTTGCAGCTATCAGATTTGTCTGACTTTGAGACATACGGATACATCGCCATGGCACCTTTACGAGTTGACGCAACGCTGGAATGTGGCCATCAAGCCCGCCGTTTTGGTTTCCGTGCTGTCCCGGCCTTACGACTACGGACGTAGCTTGCAAACCATTCGGCCGTGTCGGAGAAGCACGTACAGCTGCGCGCCCATGGCAGCAACTGACGCACGTGGTGAGCCTCAGTAATTCGAGTTGGCACGCTGCGATTGCCTCGGAATGTGACCACCGTTACGCTTGCAAGCATTCACACCACTAAGGCGGTTGAATCACAGTTGCATTCATGATGTGCAGTAGCCGCCTACCTAGTTAGGGCGCGATACAGAGACCCCAACGCCTAGTTACGGGCCCAGCAATACGCAGATAACGTGGCGATTTGGTCCTCCAGCGGTCCTCTTATCTCGACATCTTGCATCAAGACTTACCTACGTAGGGATTGACAGTCTGACCACGACAACGTTGAAGCCGTCAAAGTCAAATCACAACGCCCATACCGAGCAGCCGTCGCCACAAGCAAGCCGGCGCGTCGATCGGATGAGCCCGGATGTTGCTGCAGTAGCTCGTTGCCCGCGGGTGCCTTACGGACTTTGCAGTTACCAAAACTGCAGACGAGAGGTTCATGGAGCCGTAGCCTTGCGAACAGGGGCATGCCTGCTTCGAGGTCACGAAAGAACCCGGCTCGCTGGTTGGTTTTCCGGCGACCGGGGGCTTAGACCCAGTCGGGCCCCGAGAGGTATGGATAACTGGGATAAATGGGAAGACGCTACTGCAGGAACAACGCGACTCCAAGAACACCATCGCACCAGGTCTTTCGTGTGCGATCCCTAGGGCAGGGCTGGAAGTTTCTTCTCCATGGTTTGTACGGCGTTCGGCAACGAGATTCGTGTTGCCGACTCTGCGTTATCGGCATTGGGAGCAGACTCTTTTGGTCCGAGACAGCAATTCACTACGAAGTCGAAAAACAGGGTTGAAACCTGTACGCAGGACTCCGTAAACGGCTGTCGTGGTTGGGACCCGCCCTGGACACAACAGATCGGGTCCCCATCCGGTAGTGCCTGCGTGGCCTCGTTATCAACAGGGTCGGTTCGATATTGAACGAGCCGAAGAGCCTCTTCCGAGTTGCTCGACATCGTCAAATACATGTGGGTTAGTTTGGCCACGACAACAGATCTCGTTTACAATCCGGGACCAGCGGAAACTTTTCCGGGGAAAAGTTCAGAGTCGCATTAGCTCGCAAACTGCACCTAGAGATGCACCGTTGGACACTCTGGGCACCGTTGCTTGGGATATGATGCTGTGTGTTTGCACGAGCGCCGCGTTTTTTCGTCCCGCAGAAGGGCTGGATGGCATCTGCAGTGGCCGAGCGGTTCGCAAACATCAGCCGATGCAGAGGCAGCCCACGTCGGGGGCGGTAGGATGCGGTACCCTCGGCAGGATTGAGAATCACCAAGTCGCACGATCTGCTCTCGCCACGCGTCTGTTTCAATACACTTGGTGGTGGGACCTGATCCTTCGTTGATCGATTACAGAGCTCACCTTCCATGGAGGATCACCACTGGTTAGCCCTTCCAAGTGGCGATGGTGGCTTGCGAGAGTGTTTCGCAGGGTGTTAAGAGTCGACGCCATGGATCGCACCAGAGAGAAAGGAAGGCTAACATGATTCTAGACGCCGATGTGTTGGACCATGGGGGGGGGGGGGATTGACACAGAACACGGGGAAAGACAGGGCCGACGAGCAAGCGACGGGGGTGTTGAGATGCAACGACTTTGAGTTGGTTGATCCGCTTCGCCGCGCCTCCAATCTTGGCCAAGGGGCTAGGTATTTCAAGGCGAAGCTGCAACTTGGGTGCTTGGCAAGACGACTCGAGTGGGTTTTATCTTTTGTTGGAACAAAAGCCTTGTCATCAAGGGGCCAGGTCGTGGGGCTGCGGCAGGTGGTGCACATCTTCATAAGGTTCGCAGAGGGACGATGTTATATGGGAATGGCTAGGGTTGGACACTTCTACATACAGAGTGAAGTTGTGCACGAGAATCACCGTTGTGCACCCCGCCGGCGCCTACGACGAACCCTGCCGCGAGGAACCAACATGATCCAAGTCTTGGGACTGGAGAGAGCGGCAAACCAGGGAAGCGCGGATTCAACAAGCGACCTCAGGCAGTAGTCGTGGTAGTTGGAAGCCAAGGTTTCGAGAGCTCGGAGAAATGAGAAATGGCGGTGCTAGAAGGGAAAAAGGACCATGCGCAGGGACCCAAGCTCCCAAGCCATCATCTGTGCAGAGGGTTCTCGTGGTTCTAGGTGCCGTGTGTGGGCGATTACAGGATTGAAGGAAGCGGGAGGGGGCAAGCTCCAAGACGTCGGTGGCAGAGGCTGTGCCGTGTTGGTGGTGATGAGGGTTGGTGTGACTTGTCAGTCGTCATTCATGACTGATGGAGGGCGCAGATTTCTGATTGAGATGGATGCCGGTTCTTTATTGCAGATTTTTCCTTTCTTGTTTCCTCTTGAGCTCATTTCATATATTTGCTTTTCCAAACATTCGAGGTGTGGTACGGAGTACTGGGTACCAGGTGGTTCGCTCCGGGGTGGGGAAAACATTTCCGTTCCAGGATATCTGCTTCGGTGCGGTTGGTAGATGAGTGGGGGAGCCATGGCCGGGACAGTGACCACTGGGAAGCTTTGCCCAGAAAGGATCTATGCCACTTTAGCAATGGAACGTCGTTATTTGCCCCTGCAGGAAAGGCCAGAGCTGCCCGCCCCGTCGGAATTTGGACGGAATCCGTGACGATGATTCGTTGCGGCGGGCAAGTACCTGTAGGGTGGCTTTTTGGCGTGTTTCCTTCATGAGGTACGTAACGACAGGAAGGAAGTTGTTCTCAAAACATCCCCGGAATAATGAATAAGGCACGTTACGCAGGTTGGGAGCATGGGACACCGGTCCTTCAGCGTCTGTTCGCCTGTTCGTCTTTGCTTCTGGCGCGTCCCAAGGGTGAACCCAGCTTCTGCCTTGTGAATTCGAGCATGGTGACATGGGAGACCTGTGCTCCCACGCTCCGTACACAACTCGTACATGGCAACGAGAGACGAATTATTTCTTGTTTTTGTTTGGGTGTGGTTGCACGGATGATGGAAAATGCTGTGAAAGACCACGTCTCGTCGTGGGCAACCGCAGTAACAGCTGTGTACCCGATGGAACGCTTCAGCTCAGTGTTTCTCTCGCCAGGTACGATTTCTATACGAACCAAAGATAAGGCAAGGTGTCCGTGAAGCAGGGCGAAGAGCATCGCGCCCTGCGTCTTATCAAAGGTACGTACCCTGAAGCCCAATCTCAGAGGGATCACCAAAAGACAGGATCACCGGCGTCGTATCGTCATTTCTGCTGCCGACCGGCGAAAACCGACCCAGGCCTCGCCCTCACTGACTGCAGTCTGTCAGGGTGTCACTCTGAGATTGTCAGTTGGTCGCGCCTCTTTCGGTTGAGGCTTTCATTTGCCGTCCGGCCCCAAACAAGAGATTTCTCTGGGTAGTATCGACCAGGGGGTCGCGAACGCGGCGGGCACACGACCCCAAGATGGATTCGGGCATCAGGGGATCCCAAAGGAGAAGAAGCCATCTCAGTTGCAACTTGCCCAGTGTCATGGGTGCCGGTCAAGATGCAAAAGAGTGACTCGCTAAAACGTCGTAGTATCTGTACGGAGTAGTCCTGCACAGGCACTCAGCACTGTTGCTCGCTTGCTCTTGTTGCCAGCTAATTGTCAATTTGAAGAGTTTTCACTCCCTTTTCCCGCCTCCCCAGGGCTCAGCTTCGTTGATCCCCGAGTGGCCCCTGTCCGAGAGTGCCGAACGTGGTCATGGTGTGCGACTGAAATCCCTCCCTCTGCTCATTGCCGGGACTACTGTACTGTCAATGTACAGAGAGTCCGCGATCCGTACTTTGTAGTTCGTACTCACGCAGCAGCCTATGAGTACAGAGCGTCCGAGGCCCTAATCGTCTGCCCTTTGCTTCTGCTTCCGCTGTGCAGGGCTCGCTACTTGGGACGGGATGGGGCTGAATGATTGGACGTATTGCCGGGTGCCCGCGAAGCAAGGGGCCACCAAGGTCCAAGGAAGAAAGAAAAGGGTATCTGTAAGGATGTAAGGATGGGCAAGGTTCAAGGAGGTTATTGACGGGGCCCAGCGCTCCCCAAGCTCCGGCTCCCAGCTCCCAGCTTCCAGCCAGCTTGGCCTGGACGTGGGAGGATGCTGAGGTGGGACGGCGGACGCGCTGTCTTCTCGGCGTCTCTCCCTCCCTCGTCATCAGAAGCCAAAGCGGGCGAGCAGAGGAGTATGCTGGCATCGTAAGGCAGGTACTCAGGTCAGCGTGCTGAACAAGGTGAGGCTGATAGGTAATCCAAAATAGGTGCCCAGATTGGAGGTAAGGCAGGCAATCTTCAGAAACCTGAGGACTGAGGTGGAAATCATCGAGGGTACGTATCTTGCAGACCACGGGCAAGCCCCGGCTACCTACCTAAGAGGTAGGGAAGGAAGTGCAGTGCAGTGTGCAGCGGGTGCGCTTGCGCCTGTGATGCCTGCGCCTGAGCAGGTACCTACGCAGTATGACTAGGTAGGCGGGGTGCGCCTGTGCTGGGCTAGCAGCTCCCCTAACGGCAAAGTAAAATCCACCTACCTGGCCTAGTGGCCGAGCTCACTAGCACTTGTAGCGTTGTACTCCATCAGGTACAGCGGGTACCCACGCTGCACCGCACATCCGTGGTCAATGTCCCCCTCCCCCATTTGTTGTTATTGTTGTTATTATTATCGCCCGAATGCCCTCCCATTTTCCTGCCTTTCGCGGGTGATGCCTCGTTTTATTTCTCTTCTCTTCCCCATCTGCCATTCTGACCCCCTTTGGTGCAGCTGGCCCGGTTAGGCAGGCCCTCTCAGAGTCCAACACCTTCGTACCCACCACCAACTTCCATCTCAACCAACCACCAACAACACAGTTCTGTGAATTGCTTCTTTCTGTCGACACCAAAGAGTACAAGCCAGCCTCCAGCTTTCAGCCTCCCGCCGCGTCTACGTGCAATAGTACCGTCTTACACGCTCATATCGGACACGCCGCCTCGCAAGAAAACGAGATATCACACGCTCATCTCTCGCTCGCCTCTTTGGGTCTCCCCTCACAACATCCTTCTCATCAGACCTTCATCGTTTCCAAACCCACCCCCGACGGATTGTTGCCGGGGTTCAAAAGGGTCCACTTCAAAACCCTGCCAACAGTTGAATTGTTTCTTATGCCTACCGAGCTCTACCACTCACACTGCGAAATCCACCCATCGTCTTCTGTTATGCCCATGCGCATTCTCGCCTTTCACTCCAGCTGTCTTATACTCACGTCACCGCCCGCGATCTCGCCACGGGACACTTCTCTTTCGACAACGTCTGGCTAGGTAAAACACAAAAAACCCCGCCATGGCCGATGTCGAGCCAAGCAGCCCTAGTGCTGCCAACTTTGCGGAAACGCTGCAGTACCGCGCAACACAGTCCCGCAGAGCACGACCGCCCGCCGTTGAACCCGCCACAGCAGATTCGTCGAACCGTGTACCTTTGCGCTCCGAGAACAGGCTCAGCAGACGCGATTCGAGACTGGGACTGAGGAGCATCTTTGGCAGGTCAAAGGCGTCCCGCGAAATCGACCCCTCAGCCTCGTACTTTGACACGGGTCGTCCTAATAGCATCCGCGCCTCGCTGGCCGAAATCAGCAACTGGCCGTATATGCGATCCGAAATCGCCATATCCGGCACAAACTCATCACGACCGACATCCGTCGCCACCAACAATGTGCCGTTCAACGACGCTTCTCTCCAGAGACGGCCCACCACTACCGAAAGGACCAAGCCACAAAACGCCCCCGCGAGGTCATCTCGCGGCACCCTCGCGACCTGGGACCCCCCACCACTGTTCCAGGCATACCCCCAAGCCATCAAACACGCCCAGCTTCCCACGGCCACGACATCCGCCGATGTGATCCTGCGTCTCACCGACCGCAAGGGCAGCGTCAGCATCCGAGAGGACCTGGCCCACCTCGCCCTCACCCCGGAGCTTGCTGAGGAGCAGCTCGCCGACAGAGCTGTCGAGAAGGCGCGGAGGAAGCACCTGCGAACGCTGTCCACGGCCAGGCTCGAATGGACCTCCAAAATTTACGTCCTCTGCACGTCCGGATACCTGCTCCAGTACAACGGCGACGGCAACTTTGATCGCCTCCCGGAGAAGGTGCTGCACCTCAGCAAGGACTCGGCCGCGTTCGTCAGCGATGCAATTCCCGGCAAGCACTGGGTTCTTCAAGTTTCCTCGGCCATGGAGTCGAACGGTGTCTCTTCGGCGGACTCGCGCGGGTTGCTATCCCGCCTGCCTTTCCGCGCCGCCGACAAGCGACACGCCGCCAACTTCCTCATGGTATTCGAGAGCGCCGAGGAGATGGAGTCCTGGATCGCAATCCTGCGACGGGAGATCGAGTCGCTCGGCGGGAAGAAGACCCTCTCAGAGACGGGCAGGCCCAAGGCGGATCCCAAGATTGTACAGCTTCGCGGGCAGCCGAGTCAAAGGACCCTGGTTGTACGGGATCCTGATAGGTTCTCGCGAGCGCTGCCCCCAGACTTTTCTCTGCAACTGGAGCAGGCCAGACTTCACGAGGACGACCGCCGCCAGTCCATCATCGATGCGGAGATGACGCGCGACCCCTCCATTGACGACATCTCCACCACCAACAGTATCATCTCCCACGACGGCCGGCAGCTCGAGAGCCTGCGTGACAGCACCAACCGGCTTTCATACATCTCATCTGGTCAACGCACCTTTCTCACCTCGGCCGGCTCGTCGCCCGCGTGCTCACCCGTGCGCGACAGCTTCGCCAGCAGCCACCTAGACGACCTCCCTCCTGCAGAGCATGACTTGCCCGCTGCGAGACCCAGGCCCAACGCCGCGGCCATCCTCGATCGCAGACAGTCCCTGCAGACGTCGGGCTACCTGGAGCTGCGCGGCTCTCCCATGTCGCGACCCCAGTCGACGTACACCGAGGCCGACTTCGCGCATGTGGCCGCCAACTTTAGCGTTCCCATGAGCAGGCGCTACAGCGCTGTCAAGAGCCCCTCGTCGAGCCCCGAGCAGACGAGGAGCAACCGCGACTCCATCTCTAGGATCGCTCGTAAGCCCCCGCCGACGGCACTTGCCATGGCCCGCCCGTTGTCGATCGTGGCGGATCAGCCATCACCGGCGTCTCCGGCGCAGGCCCCCGAACTCTCGCAAGTGTGCGAAGAAGAACGGGAGCGCCCGAACCTGAGCCGCGATAGCATGGCCGGGTTCCCTCCCCGGCAAACCAGCCTTTGTCCCAAGGAGCAGGCTGTCACGGTCACCATCCGTACCAGCCCGCGAAAGTACGCCAGCTCACCGTCTCTGAACCAGCAGGGGTCGCCTCTGTCGCCTGGACTCCGGACATTCATCCTCCCATCAAAGACGCCGTCTCCGGCCTCGTCGAGCGGAGCCTCGCACACGTCTCCCCGCCCGCAGTCGTCGTTTGTGTTCCAGTCTCCGGCTCAGAGGGCCACTCAGAGACTCAGCGCACACTCTGTCATGAGCTACTCGCCATGGAGCGAGGATGTAGCCACTGGGCTCCCGATGCTCCCCGAGTCCGACTCCGTGTCGCCTCGGTCCATGCCGCGGGCCCCGACAACACCTCCTACTCCGTCGAGCAAGCAGCTCCGAGTTGACCACTCCAAGGTCGTCCTGGGAAGACGCAGCATGCCTCAGCTCGTCGAAGGACCTCCGCCGGCACCGCCGCCGAGCTGTGCGCTACCGCCCATCCCTCAAAAGGCACGCTCCCACTCCAAAGCGTGACCTATCTGTCATTCACCTTGATTCGATTCATGTGACCACTTCTTTTTCCTTATCTTTCAGGCCACGGCCTATAAAAACCGCCCATGGCGGCGCGGATGTTCTATCTCCTATGTCTCTTATTTTGTTGTTGTTTGCGTCATACCCCTTTGCTGCGCAAATCGGCGTTTTATGGATAAAAAGGCGCCCTCTCCATGATATGCCATCTGGACGGCATTCGGAGTGTTTTTTCAATGGTGAACGTGCATCTCACGGCTGGTTTTGGATGACAAGGGAGAAGGCGATAGAATTCCCTGCGAAGGGCCCGATGACGCAGTGTATGACTTGTAGCAGTAGACTACGCCCTGAGGCAGTACAATATAAAGAGATCTGATGAAGACTACCTAGCTAATGGATGTGAGATTCATGAAAGATGATCAACAAAAGTAAGTAGTCAATGTGAGATGAATGCGAGATGACCTTGAGTGCCTGCTTGTGTGTCGACGCTGAGGCTGAGGTAACGGTTGCGAGACCGAAAAGGGCTTAGCGTCGTCTGCCCCACACCATCTCTGGTGGCGCACCACGAAAATCAATCAACATCAAAATTCCTCCAGTCCAGGACCCCACCACCGATTTGACCACCGCGACAACCCGCTTCAGGACTGCAAACCTCTGACGAATCCGACCGATATCGAGAACGGGATCCGATTACAACGTATACGAGAAAATAAGGTTGCCCAACATGGCTACGCCCAAGACCAAGTACGCCCGACTCCTGCCCACAACTTTGTCCGAACGAAAGGGAGAGAGAAAAAAAAAAAGACAGCTAGCTAACCTCGCACCCCCTCATCCAGGCACGACTGGGCCGACGACGAAGACGTTGAGGAGACGTCGACCGAGCTCCCCGCGCCCCAGACCATCAGCAACAAGGACGGCACCAAGACGATCATCACCTTCCGCTACAATGACCAGGGCAAAAAGGTGAAGATGACCCGCCGCATCCGCTATACGACGCACACCGAAAAGGTGAACCCGCGCGTCGCCGACCGCAAGACGTGGTCCAAGTTTGGTCTCAGCGCCAAGGACCCGGCCGGTCCTGCTCCCGACACCACCTCGGTCGGCGAGAACATCATCTTCCGCCCCAGCACGAACTGGCGCAAGGACGAGAAGGAGGCGGGCGAGGACCCCGGCGCCCAGGCCCTCAAGGACAAGCTCAAGGACAAGCAGGTCAAGTGCCGTATCTGCAACGGCGAGCATTTCACGGCCCGCTGTCCCTACAAGGACACTATGGCGCCCGTCGGTGCCGACGGCGCCGACGTCGCTGCGGGCTTGCCGGACGACCCCGCCCCGCGGCTGGCGGCGCCGGAGGTGCTGGCGGTGCCGGTGCCAAGAAGGGCAGCTACGTTCCGCCTGCGCTCCGGGCTGGCGCGACTGGCGGCGCGGGTGCGGGTGATAGGATGGGAGGCAGCAAGTACGGCGAGCGGGACGACCTCGCCACGCTGCGTGTCACCAACGTGCGTACCCCCTTTGACGACGGAGGAGTGGTGGTGGTGGTGGTGGAAGTGATGCTGACAATCGTGGACAGGTTTCGGAGATGGCAGAGGAGCAGGAGCTGCGCGACATGTTCGAGCGCTTCGGACGCGTCACGCGTGTGTTCCTCGCCAAGGACAGGGAGACGGGACTGGCCAAGGGCTTTGCTTTCATCAGCTTTGCGGACCGGGGCGACGCCGTCAAGGCCGCGGCCAAGATGGACGGTTTCGGTTTCAAGCACTTGATTCTCAGAGTCGAGTTCGCCAAGAAGGCGGCCTAAGTTGGAGGACGAGGGTGGTGATGATGGGGATGAAGATGGCGGTAACGAATGTTTTGATGCTACTACTGGAGACACGGCTACGGCAAACGGGTTTACAAAAATTTGGCATCCGCTTTTGGGGATAACGGTAGTTTTTTACATCCCTCGTTTTTATTTTCTCTTTCATGGAAAATGCAAAGACATGATCTCACGGGACTCTGGGTATGTGTGAGGACACTGCTTCACGAATGAATCAAATGGCAAAGCTACGCAGCCCTAGTACGATGACTACGACATTCTGGACTCACAGATCACGAGGCTGACGTTTAGCATAATCATGACTGAAATTCTGTAACTAATATAAAGCAGGTGTCTGATGAGAAACCCAGACTCGACTCCGTTTCCGCCCCTTTTCTTCCCCAAGTGGACTGCAAAAAGCACACTGACTTCAAATACAAGGAGACAAAGCAAAAGCGGTATGAAGATGGTAAACGATGATTACAAAAAACGAGTATTTTTTTCAACAACGAGACGCCGGATGTGAACACGGAATAGCCGAGACTCCTCGTTAGTGTAGAGATTTGTGTTGTGTGTGTATTAATGGAAGAGTTCCCGTCTTCGTGCTGGTTTCCGTCATCATTCTCTCGTTCAAGGCCGTGAAAAGTGTATTCCAAAAAACAGTAGGAGATATGTGTAGACAGAAAGGAAAAGGGGGTGGGTTGTTTGGTTTGGTTCGGCTTGTGTCGTGTGGACGAAGTATAGCGAGTGTGGGTGCCGCGAGGGCGAAGAACGAACAAGTGCCATCTCTGGCTGGTGGTTGTCGATTTGGTGATGAAGCTGATGTGTCGATGTTTGTCGTTGTCATTGTCGCGCCGGCGCGAACGGAGGATCCCGTCGCAGAGCGAGTTCCAAGCGGCGAGGAAGAGCAAGACCTTCACACAGAGGGCCCATTAGGACCATCGGAATGCCATGGCCACCCGGAAGACCTCAGTCTCTGATCCCCTTCAACCACGTAATCGACTCGACTCTGCGAATAGTCCATCAAGCAGCGGGCGTCTCCTCCTCAGCGGCAGGGGCATCACCGTCCGCGGGACCATCCCCCTCGGCACCATCAGCCTCGGCGTTCTCCCTCGCGAGCTTCTCTTCGAGCTTCTTCTTCTTCTCGAGGGCGCGCTGCTTCTTCTTGGCCTCTGCCTTTTGGCGGCTCGCCTCCTGGCGCTCGTCAAAGACGTAGGGGAGCGACTTGACGGCGCTGAAGGTGACGGCGAGGCCGCGGCTGAGGTGCTTGAAGCACTCGGCGTAGTGCGATCTTGCGTCCGAGAGGTCGGCGCGGGCGGCGGTGGCTCGCTTCTTTGCGCGGTAGGCGCGTTCGGCACGCTGGGCGCGCTGGTAGTTGTCCGAGGCCTGGCGGCGGTTCGTCCGGAGGAGGTTTTCCGTGCCCGAGGTGCCGGGGCGTTTGGGGAGGGGCTTGGAGTCGCCGGCGATGGAGGATGTTGGGGTTTCGCGGGCCATTTTGTGTGATCAGGCTGTAATTAATTAAGAGCTTGTTGTATGTGTATATGGAATGAATGTGTACAAGTCACTATAGACTGTTTGTGAGCAAATCACTTGTAAAGCAGAGGAGGAGGGCCGGCGACTCTTCCGGCTCGTCTTTATACAACTACCGAACGATGCTAAGCAACCCATTTCGCAAAAGCGCATATACATGAACACTGAAAAAAACGCGACAAATTTGATTTGGTCCAGATCCCAGGAAGGGGCCCTGGTGGTGTGGGTTGTGTTTTGATGGTAGTCATTCTAGAAGTTCATGCAAACGACCGGCGTACCCCGGACAGCCGTCCAGGGATGCCTCCATCATGGGAGCCGCCTGGCGAATGAATGGCCGCGGGCAGTCGCCTTTTGGTAGCATGACAACAGAATCAAAACGCGTGGCGCGCTTGGATTCGCGTGATTTGGGTGAAGGGATGTTGATGGGAAGGTTCATGTCGTTCTGTTTCCTGACGGGTGTTTCCCTGTGTCCTTGGTCTTCTTCCCGTCTTCGCTGGCTCCGCTTGGAGCTCGAGAAGCCTAGGGCTTAAGTGTTGCCGATGCAACGGGTTTATCAATGTTACACACCATCGTGCTGTTGTATGTCATCTGGTTCGATACAGTGTTGACCTTGATCATCACTTAGAGACTATCATCAAAGTGTGGTGATGTTTGTTGACAGACTCAGAGCTTATCGTCGAGAGGTCTCCTATCGGCACGTGCATGATCCCGAGTGAGCGTGCACATTAGCTGGCCCGAGCGCCAGAGGGCCCTCGCTTAAAGCGCTCAAGCGCAATGACGCTAGACTAGCCTAGGACTAGGTCGCTGCTCCGCTAACCGTAGGTAAGAGCCCCGCACCTTTGCTGGGCGTGGCGCGCTCACGCTGTAGACTTGTAGAGGAAGGTAAGTCGCTCTGCAGTCCAGGTTGCCTGAGGTACCAATGGTATACAGGCACGAAGAGGACGCTGCTGCATCTCCCGCATTCGCGCTTTCCCGTTCGAACGAGAGGGAAGACGCTGGAAGGTTGAAGGATTTTTCTTTCTCAACACCTTACCCTGCGCAGGGGTGCTTAGGGCCACCAGTAACCACACGTGTGCGAGCGTTGTCTGACCTCCGTCTGTACAGTGCTAGTGAGAAGCTCAAGGCCAGTTCCTTTGTTCCAATGATCTAGGCATTTGCCGTGATATGTTGCGGAGGGAGCTCGTTGAATCTTGGAGGCAACATGGAATCGGATGTCATCCATGGGACCTTTCATTGGACCCTTCATGCCTTCAAGAGCTTCTGCCGGTCCTGAATCGCGCAGGCGGCTCAAATGCTCAACTTCAATGTCCACTGCCCAGTGTTGCGGTCCGGGTGAGCTCCCGCGGATCACATGCCAAGTTCAAGTGTACTTTTCTCATTCCCCACGGTACTTTCACAAAGTAGCGAGTAAAGACGAATTCAACAGTTGCGGGACGGGCGGGCTTTCTCAATCCAAACCAATCCAAATCAGAAGGAACCAAACCTAACCCGCCGGATTAGTGGGGCTGGTTGTACAGTGTAAGTGCGGCAGGTGCCTCCTTGCCGTACCTTCCCAGTGCTTCCTCACAACGCTGCCTCCCATTGGAAACCTCCAGCTGCACCCTCAACCCTTGTCTGTGACGTTCTTCCACGTCGTCCTTCTTCCCAACGTCTTGCCTCTTCGCCTCTCTTTTCTCCTCCTCTCTCTCCTCGCCTGAACTCTTGCTCTCGCATTGCTCCTGCTCGTTTCTCGCGCATACAAAAGTCAATCTTGACACTGGCGGCTCATGGACAGCCTGAGCAACAGAATCATCATCGCACAACGCCCTTACCGACCCCCCTGCGTGTGAAATAACATAAACCCCTCCATCGGCATCGCCAATTGCTACGCTGCTCCTGCCCTTGGCCTAGGATGAGCTCTTCCGCCGCGCCCCTCGCAAGTGATGCTGGCTCTCTGCGTCAGCGCCAGAGGCGGACGTCCGCGGCTGGCAACGGCGAGGATGGTCTAAACCCCTCAACCGTCGCGGACGACCAGTCCGACGACTTGACGCAAAAGCCCAACAAGACGTTTGGTCGAACGCCCGATGGCACAGGTAGGCTTCGCGGTGATGTGCTTTAGTTATTGTCGGCTGACAATCGCCCGGCTAGTCTTCACCGTCCCCACCACGCACGACATGGTGTCGCAGCTGCTCGATCCGAGACAGCCCAAGAACCTCTCCGATGTGCTCGTCTTGGCCATTCTCGCCCTCCAGATTGTTGCGGCGTATTTTGTGCCCGGCAACCTGAAGCGTCCCTTGTTCGCACTCGTCTTCCTCTTCTGGCGAGCCTCGTACAACATTGGCATTGGATACCTCCTCACCATCCAGTCCAACCACCGCAGGCTGGAGACGTGGGCCGCGAGATGGAAGCTCTTTGAGCACCCCGCGTCGGGAAAACAACCCCGCCCTTGGCTCTACAACATGTTGAAGCGTGAGCTCGAGGCCAAGATCCCCGAGGACTACGAGTTCGAGAAAGCTCCCATGGAGTACAACACCTGGCTAGTCTTCCGCCGTGTCGTCGATCTGATCTTGATGTGTGACTTTGTCTCCTACTGCCTCTTTGCCGTGATCTGCGGTCACACACCTGCCGGCGAGAACCCCTTTGTCGGTGTTGGACGATGGTCCATCGGCATCCTCTTGGTCCTCTTCAATCTCTGGGTCAAGCTGGACGCCCATCGCGTCGTCAAGGACTACGCTTGGTACTGGGGTGACTTTTTCTACCTCGTCGACCAGGAGCTGACCTTTGACGGCGTCTTTGAGATGGCTCCGCACCCCATGTACTCCATTGGCTATGCTGGTTACTACGGCATCTCCATGATGGCTGCGAGCTACGAGGTCCTCTTCATCTCCATCATTGCCCATCTCGCCCAGTTCGCCTTCCTCGTCGTTGTTGAGAACCCGCACATTGAGAAGACGTACAACCCGCCTGCCCCGCGTAAGCGTACTGCCTCGACGCCGCTTACCGGCCAGCCGGAGCTCGTCGCCGTCAACGACGAAATCGTGGTTGACCAGGCCGCCACGACCCAAGAGTCGTCGCCCGAGGCGCCCGCGCAGGTGCACAACCTGATTGGCTTGAACAACCTCGACCTGTTCCGCATCACAGACACCTCGGTTCTGCTGCTTGGCTTCTACATGGCCGTCCTGACTCTTGTGACCCCGTCGACGTCGCTGTACCAAGTCCTGTTCTTGCTGCATGCTCTGTTCTGGCGCGTGTGGTACCACCTTGGCCTGGGTGCCATTCTCGCGTGGCAGTCTCGCAATAAGTTCTGGACAAGACACTTTCTCAAGTACGGCGAGAGCCACACCGAGGCCTGGAATCAGTGGAAGGGCATGTACCATCTGAGCTCCGTCATGTGCACGGGATCCTTCATCGCTGCGTGCTGGAAGATGTACTCGCCGCCAGAGGACTGGGCGTACGGCTGGGTCCTCCTCAAGCACGTGGTCGGAGCCGGCCTC